GACTGTTTGCACTAGTAACATCATGTACACTCGACACCAAAAATGTTTGCTTATACTTTCGGTAATAGGTAAATGGTATTTTATTGTTAAAGTGGAATGGCCGAAAACACAGGGTGTCTCCATACATGCACTAAACAAATTTCAATTGGTTACATAATTATGTTTTTAATCAGCAATTAGAAACTCTTCCATTTGCAGCTGATTAAATAATGCTTGAATTCGTTGTGAATAAAAGAAACCACTATCCGGATTCGAAATGCTGACGTTCGGATTTTCATTCTGTGACACCCTGTGATAAAATGCCAGTGCATGCAAAAGGAAGAGTTTATCGAAAAGTGGAAAATATGGAAGGAAGTTCCTGGAAGATCTAAAAACACATGCTATTCGCTCACTTTATTAAAACATTTCTGGAAGTTGAAATTGAATATGTAAACTACGGTTTGTTCGACATCCCTTAAAGTGTTGGTATAGGTGGAAAAATGATGTTGAGCACGCAGTGAAGTAAAACGAATATAGCTATAATGAATAAACAAAAATAATATTTTCTAATGTAATATTCATTAAATCATTCCGCAGTTACTCCTCAATGATCCATTACAAGAGTCTTCCTAAAAATTCATTATTCGTAAGTCGAGGATAAAATTTAATTTTTTGTGAAAAATCCTGGCGTATGACCGTAACGTTTTGCCAAAGCAGGGGCCAACGAAAACAATATTTAGAATTTATTCGACTATTTGCCTTTTCATAACGGTGCTTGTAGATGAGATTTCTCCATTCGAAAAAAAAACGGACCAAAAAAATTACGATCCATTTCGCTAAATAAATTACCTAAAATAAAAATGTGAATTCTGCAAACGATCAAAAATTTATAGTGGGTTAAAGAAAACTATTTTCAGTCGAATATAGTAGCATGCCCATGCTAATAGTTCGGAGTGTTGTATACGAATTAAAAAATATTTTATGGATCATTTTACGAGAAAGTCATTTTTCACACTGTGCGGAGCGCGGAGTACGTATAGTGAACTTCGAGAAATATCGTTACTTTCAGCTTCTAAAATATGATTCCTTATCTTTTGACTGGGACGTGAATGGATGTTCGTCCCATATGAACATAGAAAATTATTATTCCATGTGAAAATTCGATATAGTGTAGACTGTTTGCTTTTGCCACCCCGTACCCCTCGTGAAAACTATTTATCGGGTGTCAAAAAGATATCCAATTTTAGAGACAGAGGGTGAGGAAGTATCTGATGGGAATAAACAGTGACGGGGGCATAACAAATTAACAGTTTTTTTTTTATACTTAATACGAAAAATTTTTAAACCTATAGTTAATTATTTTAGTGTTATTAAAGGTTAATAAGGAGTCGTTGGTGAAACGAATTTGTATAATATAATAAGTGCCGAGGCGGGTTTTCGAACAAAAGGAAATAATTCCCAAAGAGTGAATACGGGTTCTGGACATTGTGTCTTATATCCTCCGACCATGGGGAATAGCTATGAAGACGAGCAAAAATATGACACGGAACGTTGAAATCGACGAAGGCCAATAACTCGAGCCGTCGTCACGTGGCCATCTCGCGTAATCCACTTGGGTCCGACACTTCTCGAATCTCTACTTTTTGCGATAACGTCACTCGTAATTTACTATCTGGTTTGATTGCTATTTATGGCAGTGGACTTAGTAGTTTTTCAATAAACTTGCACGGAACACATGTATCATATCGCCCTGGCGCTTTGCGCGATTAACATTTTCATTTTCATCCCTTTCATATACTTTCCCTTCATACGAGCCATCTCTACTTTGCGATAGGTATTAAAGTGACACGTTTTGAAATTAATTTCTTTGAGTAAAAAATTTTAATCGTGCCAAGTATTTCGGTCGCCGCGTAGACAATAACCTGTTATATCAATAATAATCGAGTAGATGGTTTCTGAAACGGAAGCAGTCTTTCGAGGCGACCGCAAGACAACAATGATAGCTTTGCATAAGGCCATAAAAGCATAATCCTTTAATTAAATACATTCCATTTATAGTGCATACGGTTCGGCCGCACGCTTACTGCAACCACATATAACTCTGTATTAAATAACATTGCTTACACCTATGTTACAATTTCACGCGTTCATAATTTTATTACTGTATATCTGCATAGCCACGAAGGTATTTCGAATTACGTTGGTAATATACGATATAGATGAGAATCTATTTACACCTCAATTTAATAAACGTCCTTAACAAGGCAAAAATTAACAGCGGGATAATAATCCGGGTGTACAATTGAATATGCCCCGCGAAAAAGGACAATTACGAAATGACGAATGACCGTATAAACCGGGAATTTATTCGGGGAGGAAGTTGGAATAATCTAAAGGGTAAAGAACATTTTATGTGAGTGAAAACGCCACTCGGTTTTAATTTACATAAACAAAGATTTTTGTCGGAGTTTTAAAATTAATTAAAATGGTATAAAAAGAGGTCGCGTATCGACTAAAAGCTACTTTAAACCTGGAATGAGTCTCGTCGAGAGGAATTTACTTTGCTGTTTTGACTGTAACGAGAAAAGCTTAATTATTATGACGTAAGATATACTGCATCAGGTAGAGAGGCATCAATATTATAATTTCCCGGCGGTTCGGATGGCAAGAGAGCCTTAGAGTTTGCGATTCGCCGTTCATCTGTAAGCGAGAAAAACTTAGACATGAAAAGTTTCCGGTTGTACGGCTAGAGCGTGCAGTTGCCTAAGAGGAAAACTTTTGTTTAATTTTGTTTGGTTTGACGCTAAGCTCTTCTCCTGTCACTTTCATCCTGACTCCTCTTGTTTCCGATATTTGCGAAGAAGAGTTAATATTTTAAACTTATTGCATTATTTCCAATATGTCACTGACAATGGATATTACCAGGCGTATTTTCTGCAAACTATTTCTTGACTTTGATGCATTTAGTTATTTGGTTTCGAAGGTATCTACTATACTATAATTTTTATATCGTATGAACTTGAACATTATTTATTCTATTCTATATATTCTATAAATTCGGTGTCAACATCCCTTAATTTCATGCTATATATTAGTGTTTTTAGGATGAGAGTTTGCCTCATTTCAGAGGGTGGTATTCAATGGAATGCTAACTTTATTCGACCGACCACCAGTTTATTAAGATTTAACTTCCCCAACCCTCCAAGTTCCGGCCACCAGACTAAACTTAGTTCAATTACGAGATATTATTATGAATTCCATCATTACTTGGGGTATTTGGCTTATATAGCGGCGGACTTTTAGAAAAATTTCGGCCCCCGAATAATTGCGTTTCCTCTCTCGTCTCGTTGCATGGCCCCCCACCCGCCCCGGATTCATCAAGTTTCAACTAAAAATCGATAACAAAACCGTAGGTACACGGTTTATTTCGAAACAATTCGACTAACAAATGACGTTTTTTTGAGCCTAATGTAAAAATGGGACCATAAATTTCCGACGATTGTTTATGATTATTTAGATTCCAGTGCTTTTTAATTGTCCGAAAAGTTTCAATTTTTTTGCTTTCGAAGCATCATCGATTTTTTTATATATTCCTACCGTTTGCGGAATTGAATTTTTAATACAAACAGAGCTTCACGTCATATTCTGTTGTTTGTTTTCTTCGTCGTCATACCCGAATGGAGCTAATTACAATTAATAATAAATACGGTTCTTGTATGAGCTAGCAGTGCACCGAATTTGTCCACCATTCGCATATTAACACTATAAATACCGAAATTTAATTCATCTCTGCAGGTGTAGGTTTTAGCCGTGTAAATATTTTAGTATAATCAAATCGACTCAAGCTAACAGAACTGGAAGCAACGTTCCTGTTATCGAATGTCTGTGTGAAAATCATATAGTTGTTAATGTTCAAAGCCCACGAACAAATTGTTAAAGCATCGTATACGTTTTCCCGTGCAGGATTCCCCTATGTTAATAATAGCCCGTGCATTGATCAGACGCCACTTTGATAACAAATTTACAATAACTAGATTGTAATAATTACGAGAGGTACAAACTGTTCGCGTACGTTTCGGCTTTTCGCAGAGAAAGGCATTAAAATGTGATCAAAAGCAAAAAATACTGGCGGAATCTACAAACTGAAAAGAATGTGATGAATACTTCCTGTTTCGTTTTCTTTTAGACGTCGATACGTTTCAACAAATGATATGTTTGAGTAAGGAAAAACCTCGATCTTGTAAAAGCGTCAAGATAACAGATGCGTGAAGGTGTTCACACATTTTAGTGAAAAACAATGGCTATCACCGCCCGCTAAATCAATAAAGTGGATTATTCCTTTTCCCGAAATTTTCAGTAGTTCATTGCGTTCGTGATAAATTATTTATGAAAAAAAAATACGCGAAAAAATGTGTATCTTATCGTGAAAGTCGGCGTAAAGAATTTCGGAGATTTTTCTGATTAACTAATGAGAAGGTTCGAGTTGAAACGGTAATTTATTTTAAACAAATTTAAGAGATACGCCTAGAAGGAAAAATGCCCCGTTAAGAGGATATTGAATCGGTTCCGTTAAAGTACAATTCGAGAAAATTAATAAAAAGAGCCGTAGGTATGAAATGATGAAAGGCGTTTACGTTCCAGATAAAGACCTAATATCAAAGATGTTCAAATAGGTCGAAATTGCGAAATTGCTCCTCTCAAAACACTTGTGAAATTATCGAATGACCTTTGAGAAATTTCTTTTCTTTTATTTGTTACTCCTACACCATTTTATTGCACCGTTTATTTAATTTAGAAACACATGATGGGTGATAGTAAGTACATTAACACCTTTTTCTCTGATATTTTCTGCAGACAAATTCAACAACTACATAGGGTTAAAGCAACTAGCCAAGTTGCGAATGAACTCCCTTTGAAGCCTAGTCTCGAGATTCGAACTTTAACTAGTTTTATGCGCTTTAACCTATAAATAAGGCATGTATCGTAGGATATCAATAAGAGAGATTCGATGTTTGTTTCAGATGTGGTCCCAGCATTCGAGCCCGACTTCCTGTTCCCTCTGGAGAATTTGACCGTGGCTCAGGGCCGTGACGCAACCTTTACATGTGTTGTCAACAATCTTGGGGGATATAGGGTGAGTGGGGAACTCACCACTGCAAGGGTGTGTATTTTTTCGATCTAATATTTATGCACCGATAGCAGTATCGAGTTGGGTGCAAGTGAAAGGTCCATTTCTAAATGTCGCGTCAGTGTCTCAGACCGTTTAGTATTTTTCAACCATTTATATCATCGATTTTTTGCGGTGTAGTCGTTAAGCAAAAAAAAATTCTAAAGAAATACTTTGTCATTATTGATGAGGAAATTATAAAATCAGGGGAATGATAATGGGGAAAGTTTATGAGAACGCGTCTTGATTGATTGATGTCCATCTGCATCAGAAATGGTTGAAATTGTAATTATCGCATTAATTAGATTGTGTTACGGATATAGCATAGCGATATTAGGATTATTTGAAATTTTTTTGATCGATCTCGGCGATAATTAGAAATGGACCTGCATTTGATATCCCTTACAAACTCGGAGTCTGCAATGCACCGGCACTTCAGAGCACTGCACTCTGCACTACCAGCACAAGCACGTCATGAATGGAGCACCATATGCACAACGAAATGAAAATCAATTGTATTGACCAAATAATCAAATAATACGAATTACATTTTATACACCAAATGTTTATTCTACGCTGCTAATTTTTTTTATGTTGCAATATATTCGAGAACAGTATCGGCTACTAATTAAATTTAGTTGCAATTTAGATAAATTTACGAGCATTCGCAAGTCAGGCTTTGAAAGAAGAAATGATTAAAATTATCCCAAAGCAATTACAGTTTATAAATCATCCAATATAGAAGATGTAAAAAAGCGGTTGCGGTTTTGCATCGGTCGGTATGTTTCAGCACATCATTCTTAGATTACAGCTGAAAAAAAGGCGGAAACTACAGGCAGACCCGAGAGCTAGACAATTTATATACTTTAGGTTATAAATTAAAGTTAAACTAATGTTCCTGAATGTTTCACTTGCTACATTCCGTTTCCTCAAGTAATAGCTTTCTTCGGGAGCCATATTCGACTATAATACACTAGCAGCTTTGGCGGGGAAAACAATTAAATACTAGGCAGAATGATAGAACCTATGGAATTATATAGTCTCGAAGGTTAGCAGTAAAGTGAGATTTCTCAAAAATGCGGACATGCAAATTTCTTTAATTAAACGAGCAAATTTTTTACAACCAATTCGATATAAATGCATTTAACGTTACTGTGAGTATAACAAGACGTTTACCGTATTCTGCTCAAACTGTCTGCAGCTCATTCTTGTGTAATTGAAACAACTTATTGGGTATCAATAAACGGGTTTTTACGAGCCATAAAACCGTTTCATTGCCTCTCCTGTATGATGAATAAGTAAACTTTTTATAGGATCTATTCTATAATTGCAGTCCGAATGATGCGTTCTACATTATTTATCAGGCTAGGCTACTTTGCTTAGGATATTGTATTTTATTTGTTATTACGTATTTATTAGTAGATACATGTGGAACTTTAAAATCCCAACAAAAAAACCTACGAGAGTTTTTTTTTTATAATATTTGAGGGTTGTTATGGAGATGGGTTTATTGACTCTCACATACGTGATAAGAATTCAGCGATGTTTAAGATATTTTTATACCCCAATTCCGTATGTAGCGTTTTTGGAGAAAGTTTTATTGTACAAATACGATTATGATTTTTTTTTCGACTTGTATTTATATAGTTTCAAACAGATTTTTATTCATTAGGGGTACACTGAAAGTATTACCTAATTAAAATAAGTTTTCCCAAAGTATTTTCGTGTCATTGAAACTTCCTTGCGCTGTTTTCCTTTAAAAAAAGTTCGTAAAATGCTCTAAAGTTACGTTAATACTATACGCAGCTTCGAAGGCCGCTTACCTACAATATTAAATTGAGTTTTAACAGTCGACTTCCTCCTGAAAAGTGTACGGGGGCTTCAGTTTAACCCTGAAAAATTAATTTCAAGACAAAGTTGATGGATATTCCTCAGTTGTCTTTGTCGTGTCATCAAGCGGAAACTCGTATGGTCGGTTTTTCCGAGGATATTAGGCATTTTCGGAGTTGTTCCAGCGAATTATTTTTAATACTTTTTAACTTGGAAGGTTGCTTGTCTTTTAGAATTTTGTTAATTTAAAACACAAACATAATTTTCTATCAAGACCTGGTATTTTCGTCAACAAGATCTCTCTTTATTTTCCTTTTCCCTAGAATATACATGCTTGTTTGTCACCAAAGAAAATTTTTAATTTTAAACTGAACAACAATTTTACGTTCGTATCTAAGAAGTTTGGAGATAAATATTTTTCTAGAAAATAATTAGACTGGATTTGTTTTATACAAAAGCGTCGTGAATTGGTAATTCATTCAAGCAATTAAATGCAGTTTTGTAACTAAATTTTGATCGGTACACTTATTAACGCTAAAATAACCCAGACAAAACCCATTCATCAACCACAGTTCTGAACTTGTAAGTACAGTGTAATAAAGGTTTTATAATGAAAAATTAACATTCTTGCCAAACTTGAAGTCGGTTGCAAAATGACTCTTTGTTAAAGATGTCACGTATATAATTAACTTTGTTTACATTTAATATATTTCAGATGTAGAAATAGACTCAATTTTTTAAAAAGTCGCTCCTCGCACGAGCCGAATTTTAATTAGGGAATATTTAAAACTTTTCTAGCCATTCGGAATTTTGATCAAATGCTTGATATTGTTCCTGCTGATGTAATTCTCTTTCTATATTTTCATTAACGATATTATATTACAAGCGTCAATCATATTCTGCCAAGAAATTAATTAGCATATGAAAGTATTCTGCATCGACAATAATTCTCTTCTTATTAATTCTTTTATATGCTATATGAATGACGCACTTGTACCGGTGGAAGGTCTGAAAATCCGCAAAAATTTCATAAAACGATATTTGCGCCGGGTTTAACAAATAATATTGGAATATTTCTCCTATCAGAATGTGACTTGATATTTGCGAGAAAATTTTTAATCAGTATATTTACTTCTTCATTCCGAAATAAAATTTGAGGAATTCTTCTTTTTAATTTCAAGGAGTTCGTACAACAATGGTATGATAAACACAAAACATCTTTGGAATTTTAATTGCGCGAAGAATTTACTACAGAATCGGACCAACTTTTTCCATAATTTGTATTTCATTATCTACTTTAAATATGCCGAACATAATCCTGCTTTATAAAATAATATTTTCAATCGAGTACGATTTTCAATTGTAATAATCGTAAAAATTAAATCGAGAAACAATTTCCGGAGGTAGTGATAATAATAAAATTCAATTCGAACAACCTGGCAGAACAATCTATTCGAGTCAAATTTGTCTGAATAAACTTTGTAAATGAGGTCTTTCTAGTACAAACTAGTACAGCAACTCATTAAGATATGTTAATAATTTACCAAATATTGATAATCCCATCTTGCGATTTCTCTCAAATTTCGTGTTCTCAAAACGAAGTACACTGAAATCTATTTAGTTTTTTTTATTCTCAGCAAGAATAATATTAACTTCCAGTTTCTTCCTTAGTTACTTTTATTCTCCATTCTACTTTAATCAGTAGCAATAAAATTTATTAAGATGTAAGTATAAATACAAGGTGACTGTGAGTTTATTATTTGAATAAACCGGAATTTGTTTAAACGGTTTAATTAGAAAAAATTAAGAGGATTAGTTTTATTTTAGAAAAATATTTTGAAGTATGCAGCATGTAATTGGATGGAACCATTGTTGTTCGAATAGCTGCTTTCCAGTTGGCAAACAGCCGAAAAATCTTGAATATTCCGATAAAATCGACTGAACGAAACTTTTGAACGACAATTCACAAAAGAAAGTACAAAAGTCAGAATTTAACTTGATAGCATTTCCTTATAATAGCCTTTAAGAATAAGCTAATAGGGTATATTATAATTTAGCGAATCAATGATTTGAATAACGAAAAGTTTAAGACTACAACCCATTATAAGTAGAAGACTGTCTCTCGAATGAAATTGCTGTGCTACTCTAGGTTATCTTCCTTCTTTTAAATATCAATTTAAACCGCTCACACCTCATTAAATTTCAATTTTACAGCTATTGTCCTATCTGGGTTATAGCTCGGGGTAGCATGCATTCGAAATCTAACATGGCACGCACCTAACATGCTTTTCCAACCGATTCTATGAAATCGAAACGACAAAAAAAAACAATTATTTTAGTTCGACATTTTCAATTATATATTTCACACATTTGGTTAATATGTTGATTTTCACATAAAGGTAGACATCTTAACGTTATGGGTAATTTTAACAACTTTATTTTCACAAAATTTCTAACGAAGAAAATTTACTAGTAGAAATATACGGAATGATTAAGCAATTAAAATTTTCTTTTTTGGAGATTATTTTTTGATATATTAACAAATCATTACCGCAGTAATTTATAATTTTATTTTTTTTAATAATATTGTTAATATATCCCACGAATTAATTATACAACAGTTTGTTAAACTGTTTTATAACTAAATGTAGTTTTTAAGTATAATGTAGTTGCCTGTTATGTAATATTTGAGAATCTAAAAATCCCCTGAAGAAGTAATTTATTGCAAAACTTTTCAATTCTAAGATAATTCTAAAGACTAAACAAAGAATCCTCCAGTCAAATTAAATTCTTAATGAATTTTGAATATTCCAAAACTTCACAATATTAAACAGTGATTTTTTTAGATTCTTGATTATATGTTTAAAATTTAACGAGTCTTTAAATTAAAACAATGGCGAGTTTATTAATCATAATGCACATCTTGAGCGACATCATTACACTATATTCAAATTAAAGAAAATTACTTGTAAGCAGAGAAGCTCGGGCGATGAACAGGTCCGCATTGAGAGCAAATTTAACTAATTTATTCGACTAAATTATTAGCGCGATCGTCGACGAATGTGTTGATTAAAAACTTACCATTGCACATTATTAACGTCGATATAAAAGTTAATCGAAAATAAAAAGCTTGTTGACCACAACTGTTCACATTTCATTTTGAATCAGGTCGCTTGGATAAAGGCTGATACCAAGGCAATATTAGCTATACACGAGCACGTTATTACGAACAACGCACGATTATCTGTTACACACAACGACTTCAACACATGGACGTTGAATATACGGGGTGTTAAAAGAGAAGATAGGGGGCAGTATATGTGTCAAGTCAATACAGATCCGATGAAGATGCAGGTACGTGACAAACATTTTTTCTTAATTAATTATTCGGCGTTTTCTAATTAACTGGAAAATAGTTTAAAGCGCATCGAAACATCCATTCAAAATTGGATCGTAGTCCTCTCACGGGACGAACTATGTGCAACTTTACATCCTCCAGGCCATTATACAGACGGAAAGTAACACTATCTACGGTCTCCTTACAGAAACAATTAGTTACAAGAGAATGTCTTTAATATGTACCCTTGAAACAATTTAACACTCCAACATGATCACCATTGTTGTGCAAAGGACCGTATCGAGTTTTAGTTTCGATAAGTTAAACATTTTGCCAACGTATTTGTTGCAACTTTCCGGCAGCGGCGACATTTTGAATTTATACGCATAATTTAAATTTTACACCGAGTTTTCCGACGGCGACGTTTCAAGTTTAACTTGTTCTAAACAAAAAACTAAAATTGAATCTAAAGATAAGATCCGGACCCCGAAAGTGATGAAAGTGAAATTCTCAAGACATTATCTAACGTCCAGCAGGAAACTTTTACAATCTTCGCGCAAACCGAAACCAAATCTATTTTTTACGAACGAGCACCACATTTTGAGCGACCCTATTCTGGAGAAAAGGGCGCCGTGACTTTAAGGATTGCCAGTTCCGAGGAGAAGCATTTAAACCAAATTTTATTTAGCCGATTTACCCGGCAATGATATCCACTCGAATTTCAGATACGCCCTTCCTAGTTTCTCTTATTCGAACAAACTAATTTATGATAAGTGTCTACAGAACGGAAGTTCGCGCTTTACATACACAAGCAAATGCTCTCTTTAATTTTTCCAGACCGCATATTTGGAAGTGGTGATTCCGCCGGATATTATCACAGAAGAAACGTCTGGGGACATGATGGTGCCCGAAGGCGGATCTGCGAAGCTAACGTGCAAAGCTCGAGGGCATCCTAAGCCCCGAGTAGTTTGGAGAAGAGAAGACGGAGGTGCCATCGTCGCCCGTACCGGCCCCAATAATAAAATAGAACGAGTGACATCGGTGGAGGGCGAAACACTAACGTTGACTAAAGTCACCAGGTCCGAGATGGGCGCTTATTTGTGCATAGCGGCCAACGGAGTGCCCCCTTCGGTCAGCAAGAGACTGATGCTTCACGTGCATTGTAAGTACATCTACTTAATTTGCATTATTAATTAGCGAAATTCCGCCTTGCTCGGTTAATAAATTAACTCAACAGTTTGTAAACACTCGAATTCCAATTAAAACACTTAACAAAGCAAGCCCTGCTTGAGATTCGAGATCACTAACTACCAATAATTTGGAAAGTAAAAAAAAAGCGTGGAAAGAAGTATGACCCAATAATTTTCTTGTTCTGTTTCTGATCATTTTATCCCCGGCAAATAACGTTGGAGAGTGTGCGATGGTCTGGCGGAAAACTCTGTAATTTTACTTCTGGTGTTTACTGAGCACGTACAGAAACGGTAATTGTTGTCTCGAGACTCTCTAAGTTGATTTTGATTGTTTTTCTTTACTTTTCCTTAATAAAATTCCCGCAGATAGTGCGAGAATTATTTATTAAGGAGACATCGGAGAACGCAAATGATATCGGTTTCGTTGCGTTTATTGCTTTCTTTTTTTTGTTTTATTTTCGCTGAAAAAAAATATTAATAAAACGGGGTTTATTTTCATCTGATTGGTGAATGTGAAATTCATTCAAAAATATTTGGTAAAATAACATAAATAAACATTAATTAAAAGCAATTTGTATGTGTGTATTGTGAATACAATATATGATTTGAAAATGTTAATAAAATTCAAACATCAAAGTCTACTACAAAATCAATTGACTAAAGTTAATACATATTTTTTTACATATCATTATAAATGCACAATTACAAAACACAGAGCTGACATAAAGACTTAAAGTTCGAGTATGAGTTGTTTGCGAATTTTAAAACTTCCAATTATGCTCTGTACAGAGAGTCTAAGTCGTATACTATAGATTCTTTTATACACTCGCAACCTATTATAAAGTTTCAATTCGTTTTATTGTCGATCACTCAAAACAGTGAAAGAAGAGAGATTTCTCACTCTATTTGGGTCATTCCTCGGGTAATACTCTGCGAAAAAGTCGGCACGTAATAAATAAGTGTTTTATCGAGCTACAGATAGAATAGTACTAGCCTTCTATATTTCCGAATACGTGTTTCAGAATCAAACTGTTTAATAGTCCGAGCACACGCTTTTTCAGTCTAGAAGACACTTTCAATAATTGGTAATGGATTGCAACTCTCAGGAAATATTTCGAATTAAAAATTAGGATGATTCGGTGAACTTTTCACATTTTTTTTTCGTCGCCAAATTGAATTGGAATTGTGAAAATGAACTCGTGGAAAGGTCTGCTCAACGAAAGTAAAACTTTTTATGCAAATCATTTTTGAAGTAGCGTTGCAAATTTAACATGAACGTAAAATTACCAACAGAGTATAGGAGTATATTACTTACTAAAAAATAATTTTATTTAATAAATGATTATTCGATATTTTCAACAGTAAAGTGGAATAAAAACAGTGTCGGCCTACAATACAAGATTAATAAATAACGGAGGTAAATCCAAAAATTCCATTGAACATGCAGTTTGGCGTCAGCTCAGTTGTTAAAATAACAAATGTTCACTCAGTCAATAAAAGTTGGAGAAAAAACGATTAATCATCGCCTTTTATATGTAGAAAAGTTCACCCCATGGAGTAACATCGATGAAAGTCTATCAGAAAAATCCCTGAAATTCATTGAAAAAAGTTGGAAATTCATAGAAATCAGAATGGAATCCATTTGCGAAGTTCAGATTCGTGTGAATAAGCAATCAAGAAATTAGGGTAAATTAAAATTTCAAAACGTACTTAATTTTCTAAATGTGTTTGGTACAGATGCTTTCAAATATAAAGTAGGTAGTTTTACGGCTAATTTACATGTAGGGAACCAATAATTATACACAAATTCTAAGGGGATGTTCTTAATTCATAACTAATTCATTACACGTTTACGAGTAATTAAATTCAATTAAATAATTCAGAAGGAAGAAGCTAGATTCATGTTCATTTATAGACAAATATATTGATTATGAATAACACTAATGATACAGTACTTTTTAAACAGAAATATTTATTAAATTTATTCCGATGTATTCAAAACGTTTCCAAAAAATCACAACTTATACGGTCAATAATTGGCAGACCTTGTTAAATTGGCCGCCAGAACGGACTGGCAGGTCGATATAGCTTTTACATTTCGACCAGAACAGGCTGAAGTGGACCAGAAAATATGGCAAGCAATTGCAATAAGTATTAGTAATGTAAACGCCGCGCATCTGACACAAAAGTGATCCAATCCAAATGTTGACGACGTGACGACGTGGCTGTATTTATATTGCAGCAGCACAAAGGCGAGAATGAACAATTGTTTTTAAAAGCTCGTATGAATATGGATGTGGTGGAATGCACTCTCTACAATAGCCCAGGGTAATGGCTCCGTGCTAAGTAGACAATGGCTGATTATAAACATAACCATAAATACAAACGTTGGCAACTTCAATCATTTCCCGGCGAATGTATGCTAAACGTAACCAACTTATAGGGTGAATATCGATATATGTATGTAATTGCTTCGTTACGTTACTAAGCTTTTAATAGTTTGAAAACAATTTTGATTTTTCCAAATACTCACGAAAAATAAATATATCATTAAAAGCTATGTTGGAAGTAATTATTTGAGCCGCTTCATATCCGGAAATGTGCCGTAAAAAGTTCTAAAATCAACAAGTAGAAATATATGTTTAATGCGAATTAATTTCCAACAAAATTCAACTGGCATTGAAAATTCGTATTTTAAATTAAATCCTGTAATTAAATTTTAATTATAATAATAATATGGGATTGAAATCTTATTTGGCAAATAACCCTGTAAAGCATTGTCGGGGATATGATTTGAAATACCAGTTGTACGAGCAGCTTCAGTGGCCAAACTGAACATTTATGCAGTACGAAATCATATAATTTATGCATTGCATTAAATATATAAATGTATAAACTCCCTATTCCGGCGCGATATATTCAATCGAATGCTTCCATCGGCCTGTTAATAAATTTTCTGGAATATTTAACTTATATAAAACGGATTCGGGATGAATGTTAATAATGATAATAACGCCAGATCTTTTCTCTATTATCATTTACAATGCTATTAAAAAATTCGTTTATAAAACGTGACCAATGGTAAAAGCAAAAGAGCCCTTTTGTAATGCTTTTTGCGCTCCTTTTTAATTCCAATATGATGAAGTATTTGCGTAGGTAAAAAAATCACCGCTATTTTAAATTAGGGAAACCTGTTCTGAGCTAGTGGCATTTTTATTAAAATTTCACCAGTGATATATACCACTCAAGTTGAGGTTATAATTCAAAAATAATTTTCTCGGCTTAGAAATTGTGAAGATGTAAATTTTAACTTTGTAATTAAAATATTGTGCGTAAGGGTCCGGATCTTTCCACCGAGGCCCGAAGCCTGCACGGTGCACGTTAAAAACCTGTTTTCGTTTCTCAATTTCACGACATTTGATAAACACATTTAAATTAGATTCTAAGCGTATTACAAGTATTATAGCTTTATTTAATTATGAAATCAAGGCGAGTTTATTTATGAACTAACTTATGCCGTAGAATCATCACTAAATATAACGTTATTTTCTACTTTCAATCTGAAAGTTAGAGCATAATGATGAATGAGCGGCTAATGAAGCGATTGCTTCACTACGAAGCCTTCTTCAGATATACAAATATTGAGTAAAGAAATTTAGTTTTTGTATTCACAACTACATACTTTTTGAGCATCAAATAAGCTATTACTAATTTTATTCGGCACTTAAAAGCGTTTTATTTCTACCTATTATTTGAGAAATATATTTGGTTCTTATCAAAGTTGTATTCATTCAACTATTTAATTCATAACAACAATGTAGCAAATGTAGAAGTTTCGTATGAATTGTTTATAGGGTTTAGTATAACGAAAGTTTCACACAATGGTCCTTATCTAAAATAGGAAACATAAAATCGAAGTTAAATCACATTCTCTTCATAAACTACACCTGATTGCGGTCATTTATAAAAACACTACATTGTAATACAATCGCGAGGGAGTAGTGGAAAGAGGCGATCGGATCTTTAATATTTTCCATATTTGTGAATCAAGACGAATCGAATGCTTTTGTATTACCTGAGAATTGACTACGTTTTATTTATTAGTACTTTGTTTCTATTATTCCTGTATTTCTATTCACCCGTATTAATTTAACAATCATCGTTGTATTTACGTTTAAAATGGAATAAAATAAAATAAATCACTGAATAAAATATAAGCTAGTTCGGAGAGCATGTAGTAGAGGTTAATCGATAATAAAACAAGAACTGAAATGGATAAAAATAAAAGTGTGCCAGCGTAAGGTCCACTCCAGGCTGTTTGAAACTTCCCCGGGACACGTCTTCATTATAATCAATCACTTGAATAAGTAAATAATTTTTGCGACGGTGATGTTGTCGTCAAAGTTTCCAGACTTAGCTGGATTCTAGGCGTAAATGCAATCGGTTCAAATTGTTAAGAACTACATGTACAAATAAAAATACCGCTTGATGGTAAAAGATAAACGAAAGCGGCTTTAAAGCTGTTCAGCAAATATAGAGAATTTCTGAAACACCGGTTTACAAAAGCGGTGAGAAGGTAAATTACTACTTTTTTATAGACTTTCCTTGAAAATTTGTTTTTTAAGGGTTTTAATTTTTATATGATTCAAAGAATTTTTAAGTATCATTATACAGGCTACGAAATTTTGATTAAAAACTCCCTTATCATTGATTCCATTTCGACATTCAATTACAGTAATATTCAAGCATCGTAACAAACTCCCGAATTAAGAAAAATCACTTTCCTAGAATTACATTCCATCCGCCGTTTTTCTTTTATATAATCTGAAAAGTCGTTCCTACCCTATGGAAGAATCTTTAGTTTTATGAATCTCTTTTCTGGATTCTTGAATAAAACTATTAACTCTAAAGTTTCCCTAGCAAAATTGGGTTTTAAATTGTATTATGTAAAAACATATTATACCCTAAGTGAAACGGAGTCAGAAGTTTGCTCTCCTCAATCCACGTCTGATCGCGAAAGAGTATAGGCAGTAAAGAAGGGGAGGAAAATACAAGTAGATGTTTTATCATCGGGGTTTTACAATAAAACTTAGCTTTCGATTAAAGTGGAAAAAAAGTGACAAAGTCGAAAGATTAATGGAAGTATAATCTAAAAAATATACAGGATATTCAGCGTGCATTGTATTTGAAATTGAAATTATAACCGTACAAGCGGGCTAATCTTCCATTATTAGTCGAGTTTACTCCACAGAAGGGAAGGTTCCCATACATATTGTGTCCGAATAGTAGCAAAGTTGTAAAATTTATCGTAAACTCGTAGATAGCACATAAGCCACCAAGAATACTAAATAAATCCCCTGTTAACAATACAACCATATTACTTTCACTTTCGCAATACATTATTGATCAGAAAGTGGATGATTTCAATTAAATTCCGAAGGTTGTAGTCTAACTTTACCCGCGGGAAGGCGGCAGTCCCACAGGTAACCCGTACTCATATTAATTTACTAACGGTTTGTTTTGCAAGAACTTAACCACACAGGCACACTACACTGATTTTTAGATGACTGAGCATTCCCTCTATACCTGAACAATAGTTATTGAAAATGGGTAGTATTTCAAATAAAATTTCCATGCGTGATTGAAGTTATTAAACACCTGCTTTAATTACAATTCTCTATTGCATAAAAATGACGAAATTACATAAGAAAACAAGATATTTTAACCGTGATGGTCGTTTAATTTCCCCGTAGACAGAATCTAGAATGTTCCTTTAATTAATAACCTCGTTTGTCAAATAGATTTACAACGAGAAAATACAGTGTAGAGATATTTCTTATAAAAGGCTCATAAATTGGTGTTAGGGTCGTGAAAATTGCCGTTAAAAAAGGTGATGTTAAAAATGGTTTGGGCAAAATGCATTTCGGCTTAAGGTGCTCAATTTAATTTAAAACGGCATTTTTGTGGATAGGCATCCCCTATAAAATTTATATAAATTCAAGAGGTAATTGAGTTTTCAATATAAATTTTTCCGAAATACTTTTATCGCTCAACTGGAAGTCCTTCTACAAGCAAATGTTATACGAGACATTTTGTATAGGTAGATACTATTAAAAAATAATCTCGCCTCGATCAGGAATATAGAAAAATGTTAATCAAGTAAAATAATTGAACTCCGTAAAGAGTTCCTTCATTTAATTTCCCTTTGAGTCTACCTACTACATTCTAACTGCTCGTTGTTATTAATTAACTCCAGTAGGTTGAATTTTAACTTTGATTACCTAATTCTGCAAAGCTTTTATTCCTGTTAATTGTTAAGGAATAGTTGAAACGAATTCAGGAAACTTTAATAATTTATATCGCAAAGGTACCTTTTGAATTTAAACTAAGATGCGCATCAGAAGAATTAGTGTATATTTAGTTTACATACAATCTTTACTTGTTTGAAGTGGAAAACTGTACCGAGCATCAGTGTTAAAAGGGAGCGCAATTTTCTATTTTTGTAATGTAAAAACAATACGAAAATTAGTATTACGAACTCCGTGTAGTAACCATGTTAATCCAATCATATAAGTTTCATTTTTTGTTTGCATCCTACTCATATGTATGCTGATGATGTTCAATTGCATACATGATTTTTACCTGACATCGTTCTGCTCACAGTAAAAGAATATTGTTCCTCCTGTTTCGGCTCTATTTTTTATTGATAACGGGGGTAAATTCCATACACTGAAATGCATTTGATTGAGCTTAAATTGCAAAACATTTCCATATGAACAAAGGTTTTATCCGAATACCACTCACTGTATCCTTCACTGACGATAGAAATGCTATTTTACTTGCTGACCCAGTGAGTTTTACGGTCTTTGACATTCCAATGATGCCATTGTTCTATTCAATGGAAAAAAAATTAGTTCAAAATTTACACAGCAGTTCCAGCGTGGTATATTGATATCTCTTTCGCTATCAATATGCAGAAAAATCGTATAAAGTGGCTATTTTTATTTGGAATGTACGCCGGCATAACTTTCAAAAAGAAGCTACACACGACTGCATTATTTCATACTATCTACAGCATTCGAACTAAAAACTTAAGAACTGGGGAAACTTGAAAAACTGGGGGTTATTTTAATATTGATATGATTCAATTTATGTAATGAAATCTCGACTCGTGGATGAAAAACCCGGCTAGAGAACCTACTTCATTCAATAAGTCATATCTTTCCGTTTTCACCCAGACGATAATCGTCGGAAATATCATAACAGCCGAATCTGAATCCCCTTTTCATATTTCCATTTAATTCCTGCAAGCGGTAAGTGAAAAGAAAGTGGATCTTTTGCATTTCGGCCCGAAAAGAAGGACCGGTGTCGGTGATTCATAGCAGGACGGTAACCTGGAAGTGCTTGAAGAGAGGTATAAAATTTCTCACGCTTTTTAACGACGTAACACAAGGGCAAGGGTCCTCCTGCACTCTACTAACATTTCTTAAAAGATGACTTTCAATTTCAGGACTTTACATAATATATTTAGTGACTCGCAGAGCGACAAGCTGATGCACGAACGGCCGCGTTGCCACAAGTAACACAAAACAAAACCCATTTAATAATCTAATTATCAAAAATTTATCGGCGATTGTTGAATAAAAATTAGAACGGTTGCAATAAAAATTTTTAGCATTTTTCTAATTTTCGCAGTGTACGAATTTTTTTAACGGAAAGCTAATCGATAAAAAAGTTGGGGAGTTATATGTATCGCAGGGAATTTAAAGAATGTGGCAACGCTGAGATTGAAGACATTCATTTCCCTCTGCGATAAAACTTTCCAGGCAATCAAATTATTCACCATATTGTGGCACGGGTAGCAAACTGAGAACTGATAACAAGAGCCTTTAAATTGATTGACTAACTGACTTTTCTAAAACGCGAAAATTGAAATTGTTTTCAAAGTTTCTCGAATGCGATAATCGGGCTATGTTTCCAACAAATCCCTAGCCGTGCTTTTCTGTAATGGTAATGACTTAAAAGGAAAGTTAGTTAAATGTGCATAACGTGTGTTTATCAACAAAGATTTACATCATTTTTGACGGTAACTTTTTCTTCTCCGGCTCTCCTCTTTTCTACCTCCACATTTAACTTTTATCATCGTAATTGAATGAACTTGTCGCCCTAAACTCATTCCCGCGACATTAGCCGAATCTTAATAAAGTATTTTCGAAAAAAAAAATATCCACGCGCAACTTTTGTATGAATTTGTACTAAAAAGAAAATAAGTTTTAATAAGTATGTACGAACGGATTAACTTTAATTATGAAGTATCCAGTATCCTTCATAATACTAAATATATGGATCTCTAAAACGAACCAAATTTTAATAACATACCAACAGGGATCTTCTTTTGAAAATTTAATTAGAATTTTAACGCGGAACGGTGCAGGGAATAATACTTAACGCTGGTATATACACGGAGTTGATTGTTCTTAAACCTGCTGGAAGTTGTCGGTTAGGTGGACATCCTTCCACAAGCAAATAGAACTTCTAATAGATTGGTTACATGTAGTGGGTATATAAGCGATGTACGCACACACCTACTGTAACATCGTTGCTCTCTCCTCCAATTTGAATCGGCTAAACGCTCTTAGATACTAATTAGTTTAACGATGGTTGTTTCAGTTCATCCGTTGATTCAAGTTCGAAATCAGTTAGTGGGAACTCCTGTAAACACGGACGTCACCCTGCAGTGTCACGTCGAGGCGTCCCCAAAAGCAATCAACTACTGGACTAGAGAGAGCGGTGAGTAGAGAAGTCTCAGTCCCTCAAAGGAGGACACTCGACGACGCGCTGACCGGCACTTAGCCAGTGTCTCCGCCACCGGTTGGCTCTCGAGACTGGATCCCAACTTGGTTCTTCACTTTACGCTAAACTAAACTATATCAAATCCTCTTTTAATGCATGCGCTATTCCTTCACCTAGGTATTTACTATTCAGGCTTGTTTTTTAGGCGAAATGATCATATCTAACGACAAATATTACATGACGGAAATCAACAATTCGTATTATAGTGTGCAGATGAAGCTAGTTATAAGGAAATTCCACAAGTCCGATCTTGGAGGATACAAATGTATATCAAAAAACTCGATAGGAGACGCCGAAGGCAACATTAGACTTTACGGTAAGCGAGATTGCACAATAAATCCAAAATCAGCGGAATTACTATTTTTTTTCCGCGACGTGAAAATTTCGAGCGCGACTTGTTCGATCTTTCCCTTCGTTTGCATTATTCGAAATAAGTTGTTTATTGAATTGTTAACCAGAAAAGATGCTTATCTCGATAGACGGAAAGGAGGAAAAGTGCGAATGACTACTATAAAAATAAAAAGAGAAAGGCTTCGGCTTGGAACATTTAATGGTAATATTCAGGATCGGAGGGTAACTTTTTTTGTCACCCTAGCCCCCGGGGATTTCATAAAACTGCATATGTGTGCAGGGTTGTTCTTGGCAAATCGTCGAAGGAGGGTAAGGATTTTATTTTCGACGAGCCACTCTTGATTTGTTCGACCGGGAATGTAGTTATTTCGAATCAACGCAAGTAGAGGTATTTTGTAATTATTTATGCGCGTGGATTGTTTTCGATTTAATAAATTTTTCACCATTTCGAAATCAGTGCCGCTCCTGGTAATGTATGTATTGGTTTCGTGAAAGAGAATGTAGATACACAAAACAGTTGTAAGTGAATTTTAGCAATTTTTATAAAAAAAATCCAATTTCATTTTATTGTCGTCGATTTCTTCAGAATTCTCATCAACATTTCATAGTTCGAAAGCCGTAAATCAGAAAATAAGTGGGACTCCAATCTCGGTTCAGAAAGACAAAACGTTCGTGTGCTTCGTATTTGCCGCCGCCGCCGCCGAAAGTAGTTTATTTTTAACTTACGGTTTTTTATTGGCGAATTTATTAGAGAAAATGCTTCAGAAACGTGTTTGAGAATTTTTTATCATCGATTTTTTTCCATTTTTCAGAAGTAGAATTACAGGAACGCGTAGATGCAGCTGAAGAGACTGAACAGACATCCGATGATCAAAACAGGAATAACGATTCAGAAGAACGGCTCTACAACGGCTTCAGAGGTCCTTTGAGCGACATTGACCAGAGCAACTTGCCCTTAAACGTCAGTTCGACCTGTACCATATCAAAGTTCCACAAACTGTGCCCTGTTCTAGTGATACTACTCCATTTGTACTAAGAGGGGGCAACATTGCGAGGACACATTTATTAATTGTGATATGTGCCAAATTTACATGTGCTTCGCTACTACCTGTATCGCTGTGTGTTGTGCACAACTGTTAAAAAATTTAGTGACAAAATTAGGCACAAACGTTATTGCGTTTGTGAGATATATTTAACCATATTAAAGATGAAACTTGCATTATTTTAGTTATTTTATCAACTATAATAAAGTAACTGTATCAATGACTAATCGTTTAAGTAGTATTAGATATGAGTAGTTCTACTGATGAGTCCTCTTCACTCAATGTTCTATTATCAATTCTATCATTCGATTTATACAGTATAATTTATCACCAAATGTTCTAACAGTTGTCGAATTTTTGTATAAAAAATAATTAGTAGTAGCAAATAAATGTGAAATATGTTGCTGATAGTTGCCTGTGTACAATAATGTATAAGTTGTATTCAGTTAAAAATTGTAAACATAAATTGTATCTATTAATCTAGTTGACATTTTTTCGTTCGAGTATTCTATATAAATCTATTAATGTTTATTTCTATGTGACATAAAATGTTTATATTTAAGCTAAATAAATTGTTTTAAATTTGTTGATTCTATAATTTTCTACCTGCATCTTACCATCAATTTATTTAAATCATAAAGTATTGTAACCACTATACGTCCTAAGAATCGTAGTCTTCAGTGTGTAAAAGGTGTTGCATAACTTGATGTTTTATACTTCTAGATACACAGTAGTTTAATATAATAAATTAGTATCAAAAATAAAATAAAAATAAAATAAACCAACGAATAAAAAATCAAAAATAAAAAAAAACATAAGCTTGATGACCTAATAGGATTAAAAAAGGCAAAAAATGAACTCAATTTTATATAATTTCTTCTAACAAACCCACATATTGGGTAAACGAATTCGATATCCAATAGCATAGCATAAGGGCTGTTGTGAAATTTAAAATGACTAATAACTATGCTACAAACAAAAGAGAATCGTGCACCTTTGGGCACTTCCGCTGGGTAAGTGAGTGATGAGATAGTGTAAAGTACATACGCGAATTGAATTTTTATTAAGAAAGTTCACGTTAGTTCCGGTAGATATAAATTCAGAATGATTTTTTTTTATTTTCATGCATTTGAATTCCAGTACGAAAAATTATAATCAAATACGCGAAGAATGGAGGAGCATTCGGGAAATGGAAATTCGGGGAAAAGGGTATAATCAATAAATAGAAAAATTCCTGGATAAATACCCTTGAAATAGAAATGAGTAAACTGAAGAAAACATTCAAAACATTCGTTTTTCGAGCACTAATTGAAGAATGCCAACAATTAGGAGTTTGTAAAAAGCAAAAAAAAACTGCATTTTAATCACTCTATGCAGCTTTGTATAATTGGCATTTAGCTGGCTTGATTAGATATGGAGTTGAGCTCGCCCTACCTTGAGGTGCCTAGGTAAATAAGCCATTAAAAAAAATAAAAACTCGGTGTTTCTGTTTCATTTGAAGTAAATGTCACGTTCTCGCATGATCTGTATATGGTATTCAATTGCATACCGTTACCGCTCCTCCACTTGCCTCAAACTTCTTAGCCCGGACCTGAGTTACTGTTTACGCTCAACAGGCGTATCGCAGTCTTTCCTGTGTATTTCGACAAATAACTCGTGAATGTTTTGTAGTTTATAGTAGTTTATTTATGTGTTCGAAGGCCCTGTTTAATGATTTTTCTGAAATCGGTAAGTGACGAATTTTTAATGATTTTATTTCTAACGAAACGCTTCGATTTTAATACACGAATAAATTTCGATTTTCGCCACGGCAATTCTCGGCTCGCCGCTCTTGTTTGTTTATTTTCATTCGAATTTTAACAATGTATCTGGTGTTTAACCTTTCTTGTAATAATTTCGTCATTTTATTAAGCAACGCTACATCATACCTGCGTCGCATAATTAATCCACAAATGAATTTAATTTTCATAAATTAGTCAAAAAATTACTAGCGCAGAGGAGGAACCTTCCTACATTGCGAGGGTGGATGCGCCTTGAAATTAAAATTAAAATTTCTTTTTAAAACGGCCTTTGCATTTTCTCGTCAGTTCGCTGCCAATTCTTCCAGTGCTTAGGCAAATCAAAAGTAATGAAACAGAAACTAATAAATAGAGGTAAGTTGATAACAATTTGTTGGTGTACTTGAATTTCAATACCGTCGTCGTATCGACTTTGATCGTTATTAGTTTTAATTTATTTGTTACGATAAAATCGAATCGAATGAATAAATGAGCATTTATTATTAACACTCAGTATATGCTAGGGGGTTCTATTTATGAAAAAATGAACGAAACAAAAGTGACTTTTTTTGCTAATTTTAAACGCCAAAGATTATTATCTCGAAACACTCGGCTACATACACTACACGAATATTATGAATAAACATTATTGGTATTAATGGCAATTATCCGACTGTAAACGTTTCAGAGCGAACAGCGGAAATTATTAAATAATAGGTACATGCAAAAAAATGTTTCCTCGCCATTGAAATCGTTGCATAAAGCAAGACCCACAGAGTAAACTACGAATTTACCGAACGCCTTGGGCTGCCATCATTAAGTGTTTTATAATGAGGATAAGATCCGTTTTCTTCCAGTTATTGAATGAAATCAATGCGTCTGTTATGTAAATTTATCGTCCGCAATTTATACGCGTTTTGCTCGACTTAGGGCTTACATCACTCGAAGTTGCCACAGAATTGATAATCGATTGATGTTTTAAGGAAATTACCTACACCTACCAAATTTGTCGAACAATCGACGATATATTTTGAAATGTTACCATTCATGAAAGCCAAATGCAGCAACTTGAAATGAGATGTTAGTTATGAAATTGTAGGAGTATACTAGAAAATAATATATGATAATACTTTGACGCATTGACAGCACTTACTGACAAATAATATTCACATTGAGGGAAATACAGAAGATAAATTGCTTATGCATTGAAAATATATCAAGATTTTTTATTACAAATATAGTGAAACAACATTCAAAACGGGGTTAAACTGTAACCTCAGACCTTATATCACGATTTATGTAAACAATGCCATTTTCAATGTATACACATATTAATCTATTGTAATTACAACAATTTACAAATAAACTTAAAACTGAATTTAAATTATCTCATTACTATTAATCGACTCAATAAAACGAAAGCAGCAATGAAAGAATAAAAAATAATCATCCCCCTTATTTACTTAATGATTGATTAATTGAAGCAGCTTGTTGAACACCACAAAAACAAAATTAAATGGCCAATTACACAACTTTCATAATTAAGGTTAAACTGTCAGTTAATTCCCAAGAAAATTATGGTGCACTCTGCAGCATAACTGTAATATTACCTAAAAATACATTAACAGGAAATGACCATCATTTAATTATAACTGCTCGAAAATATTCGATTTTTATATTATGTATAAACTATATTCCCGGAATCGCGTGACAGCAGAAAAGAAAGTTTTGTCAACGCGAGTAATGCTCTTACCAGTTACAATGAAATTGTTCTTGTATTATTCTTGAACAGATATGTTTAGAGCCGCTCATACATCCTCGTAAACATTAGATACCTTCCGCGGTATTGTATGAAAATAAGATATTTTGCTAAGAAAAGAGAATCACGTAGGAACGGTATCTGGGAAAATCGCATGGCTTAAAAGGAGACTTTGCATTTAAGCGATTCTTCTCAGTATGTACTATAAATTTGAATGAAACCAACGTACATGTTAATTCTGTTGAAGATAAATCAGGTGAGGAAGTCGCAAAGTTTACATGTTAAAACAGATGCTGCAACTAGTGGTTCCTATCTGTTTGTATTTACAACAGACGCCACATGAAATTTGAGATATGTTACCTTATTAACATAATCAGCTTGTTTATCATGTATGATGAATGACAAATCATAAACAAACAGATAGGTATAACCTGAAAAAATGAGATATGACTAGTTACTTATACACAGGAATTTTCAATTTAAAATATCTCCACTAAAATGCAATTAAAATTGATACATTGATGTAATTACAGAGAATCGTAGTAATAAAATGTTACTATACGTTCTGGATATCTAATGGCTAAAATCTTTTCTACCCTAAATCCTTTTCTTCGAAGTTTTAAAAGTGTAATGTTTTGAATTTTAGCGAAAATTCATAGCGAAAACGGCGGAACTCTAATTATTCCGGCTTTCTCTGAAACTCACTTATCCCATTTACTTTCATATTAATTACATCGAATTTGAGTAACTCATTTGAAATTCAAATTGCACAGTTTACGTATTTACTGTAATGATTATTTCTAATCATATTTTAAAACTGAATTACCCACGGAATTGTTGTGATTAGAACGTATTTTTTTTTCTTTTTTGCCAATTTTATGGTTAATATCGATTAACCTACTCCATAAAAAATACATCTAGTTAAATGGGCGAATTAATTTAAGCAAGAAAAATCAATTTTACAGTACAGCGAATATTTAATGAAGGCAATTTTTTCTAATAGATTATTTTTACGAATTAATTCGTCGAAAGAGCGCTGAAATTTAAAAATTATGACCCACTGAACTTGCTACCAGTACCATACCAAGACGACTTTTACCGTTTCCTAGCTACCCACAGCCCACATTTTGAACTTACGTACTTCTAAATAATTAAGTGAAATATGAAATCATTAAGTGACCCACGTTTTTTTATACGGGGTGTTACTCAATGAAGAAGACCTGGGCGGTCCATTGATATTTAATTATCTCATTAGCCGAATATAAAACTACATTTTAATTTAAATTAAAACCATGTTATTTTTTTTAACCGGAAATATTTTAACCTTTTAAATATATGCAGATATTAAGAATTCAACGAACCAATGGCTAGCCATTACATTTATTAATGTCCCGTATTGTAAACGGAGTCACTACCCAGAAAAAGGATCGTTGATAAGAAAGTTATTGACCTTGTTAATTAACAACAACAATTTTTGAAATTATTGTATTTTTTCTTACTTATAAGCCAAGAACTGTTATTGCTCGATAGTCGAGTGAACGCATTGAAATTCAAATATGTAGTTGCGCTGTACGCGGTGTGTTCTACCGTCTTATCCAATGTTATCTAAATTATTCGACGGTAATGTATTTTCATTTCGAATTTTGTCGTAATGTATCGAGAATTCAATCAAAAATTCGTGTGATTTAATTTTCTGTGAAGTTACGTTGTAAATTTTTTGTAATGTATACCTTTCAAGAGTGTTGGACGAATTCTATAATACAATTTCTTTTTAAATTCTGAAGCTATTGTACTCGCGCTCAAATGAGTCCCCTATTATATGTAAATTTTTTGGGTTAGACTGTAATAGATTCAGTCCGACTGGCGTTTGATAAACAGGAATTAGAAACTAGATAGGACTTGGTTTACTTTTATTATTGTGGCCGATAAATGCTGCTATTAGTAAGTAATACGAAACAGTCACGTTTTAGATACCGTTTTACAAAAATCATTGAATTAATGTATATATTTTTTTAAGAATTCTATAATAGAAATTTCACCGAAACTTTAATTAATTTATCAATTAAATAATACGAAAATTTGTGACTAATGTTGCCAGATTAATAAAAATTTCCTGTAATCATCATCTAAAAGAAAATATATAAAATTCTTCATAGATGAATCGTTTAAAAATTTACAACTAACTTATAAACCAACAATCATTGATCTGTAATTCACATTTGACTAACAACGCAAACTATTTTATAAAGTTTAGGTAGATACGTAGGTAAATCAATCGTAGAAGGTTTCCTCCAATTCCTCAGCCATACTCGCTTCAAAACGCTTACCGCTTTTAAAATAGAACCAAACTAAGATCCAAACCCGATTTTATATACATACATTTTGTACATTTTGTATATCAAATATCTCATTAACCAAACCAATCGCACTTGGGCCTTAGTTATAACGCGACAACGAGCCAGACGGCGTCAATTTTGGAGTAGGAAATTTCTTTTCAGATCTAAATGGCAGCATATCCCAGAAATGGAAGAGGCTCCGGAAATGCTGCGCGTCTCTCAGGGGCAGCAACGTATACAATTCGGAAACATCTAAAAGTACTCTACTGGAACCGACCACTCCACACATTCTAGTCAGTACACCCCACACCACATCGTCTCTACGTATACCCAGCAACACGAAAAAAAGCAGCGTCCAAGATGTCCTAAGAGCCAAGCTCAATCAAATACACATAGGTAAGAGCGCTATTTACATTATTTACATTAACAACGGCCCGGTCCTGTATAATTAGAGAAGCAGACAAATGATCGGCGTTTTTTATCTTCTCCACGACCTTGGCTGGCTTCATTTCAAAGGATGCACAGTTCTCACACCAAATCACCGTGAAAAAAACAATGCTACATATCTTTTAACAAACGTAACGCGTATACACGGTGTTCAGATAATTAGAATAATAGCCAAAGCGTCTGGAACACTTCCACTATTTCAAATTTCCTACATTTCTACTTTCGATATAATGAATATAAAAATATCCAGGTTTAAGAAGACGCCGGGCTCTGTCCGTCCAAGAGTTCTTCCACAACCCGAACCAGGAGAAACCTCCGACGTTCTACGTCCCGTCGCCGGCGGAGGAGCCGCCGAAGGCGCCGTCCCGGCGGCCGCGGTCGCGCCAGAGGGCCATCAACTCGCTGACGTTCACGCCGTCGAGCAGCAAGGAGTTCCTGAAGGGCGCCAGCGGCGAGTGGAGCCCGCTGCCCTACGAGCCGCCGCCGGACTACGACGTGGAGGAGAAGCCGCCGAACAGGCGGTGGTCGGTGGTGACGTTCAGCAAGGGCCCGCCGGAGAAGGCGAGGACCAAGATCGAGAACGCGAACATCAAAATACCGAAGACGAAGCTGAACAAGCAGCTCGACCGGGCGAGGTCGCAGTCGCCCAGCTGGAAGAAGGAGCAGGCCAAATCGATTGGAGGCGAGCACAATAGGCGCGTGACGAGCTCCAAGAGCCATTACGAGCTCATCGGTTCGCGGCTGAAAACGGAAAGATCTCGAGACCATGGACGCGAGCAACAAGTAAGTGAATTTAGCATGTTTACTAACACTTTTCGCATTGTTGTTGTTTGTATCAGTAGCAGAATTTTCCTGGTAATATCGAGTGCATAATAACTAAAGTAAAACGTGCTTTTCGGCACTCTTGCATCTAATTTCAAGTTTACCGTACGACCGTGAACTCGCTTAGTAGTGGCCATTGTACACACCATGTATGGGATGTGTGAATTTAAAAAGGTTCCTGTTCTCTTCGCCATTGTACCGTAAGTGCGACAAGAAAAACACATCTAGTGAAAATTGTTTAACACGATTCAGATTTCCGCTTTTTAACCATGTCAAACCAGCAAAAATTAGGAGCAACACTTGATTTTCCGCGGGTCTTTAAGATTTTATTGGCACATCGATGTTATAAACTTAACGAATCAAGATCAAGATGACTAGATGAGTAGCAACTTTTTTAAGTATTGGGGACGTGTGAATCTTTGTGTTGTATTTAAATGTCAAGATCAAGAGACAACACAATTTGCTATTTATATTCGGATGCAATTTAGCAAGATTATTTTTCATTGATTATACAGGATGTTTCATTTACAACTTCCGGAATTTGTTACTCAAAGACGAATTTCTTACTTACTTAATGTGCTTAAAATTACCTACTTAATAACATGCCAGCAGACATATTCTAAATTACTTTTTATATTAATTTTATAGGTAGGTCTTTATTTGTATGATTTATGTTTTGTAATTTTCTATTACCCCAGGCGTATATTTTTAATTGGAACGCCTAGTTTAAACGAAATGCCATTTAAAAATTAATTTACCATTATAATTATTCGAATCATTTTTCCGGACCGTTAACAGCTACATCACATTATTTACATAAGTATAAATAAAATCTATTAAATGAATTAATAACTGATCGAATGTGTTTTAATTGCAGGTATTTCTGAATTGTTTTTCGAGGCATAAAAATCAAATCAATTATTTTCCTATATCGTACTTCTATCTATAGGTATCCCATCAGAAATATTTGTTGTTAACTGTAGCATCATGGAGAGCAAATTTTATGTATTATTCGATTTGCATCGAAATTTTGAAATGACGATTGCCAATTCAAACCTGAGGGTAATCAATTTGCGCTGATTTTTCACATTCCATTTCTAAATTGTTGTTTACCCAATAATTTACGTTATTTACCAAAAGTGTGTTAAGTATGCAAGGCATTTGTTACAAAAAGAATAATGAGTCATGTGTGTTAACAAGCTTTTGTAATCGTTATTTGAGCTTATAATGCATTTAGATTTATTTGTTGTAATAACTAAAAAAGTATTTTTGAATTTTCATTATTGTACCAAAATACTTAATTTCGGTTGTTAAAATTAATTTCGTGCTTTCCCGAAGTATTCTCGTCGCTTTAACCGTTTATAGTGAAAAGAATAGCCATTTTTAAAACCCATTCTTCTACGAATTGCGGTTCATTTTATAACTTTATGATGCTGTAAATATCTCTACAGCGTTCAACAGGCATGTAGTGGTGAATTGTTTAGGGTACGATTATTTTTTATGTCTCATTTTATACCAGTGAATTCGATCACCTGAGGCATGTAAAATAATAAACAATATGACTCACATTAACACACAACTATTTAATTTTAAATCGATTTGAATAATGACCGCAAACCAAACCTTGTGTCATGTCATTTTTATTCACTCTGAATATTGAAATGGACTCCTTACGGCTACAGGACTGGAATGGCGTGTTTCACTCATTAAACTATTGAATATATTTATAAAAAATGATTCACTGGATGTGAGAAAAATTATTTAGTTTATTTAATAACCCATAATTACGATAAAGAGACTCTTGATGCTTGTATCGTACGTTACTTACTTAATAAGTCTGCTACTTTAACTGGTACTTTAGGCAGAGTTGTACTCGCTCAAACGTTGTTCGGGAGAAATGTTGCGTAAGTAGCAAATAAAATTGTCCCACGAGATTTGGTTTTTCTTTTCGAAACGGTCAGTTCGTTTTCCATTTTTAGCAAGAAGAGAGCTGGTTTCGTAAGGAACTTCGCGTCATTGTTGAGGTAAAATTACGGCCATCGGTGCAATAAAAATTCTCGCACTTGAGTACTTGTAAATGGCGTGATGTTTATCGCATTTCGACAAAGCAAATACTTGTCTTGGTAGTTCAGATTTCGTGTCAACACAAGAATACTATGTAACGTATGTAAATAAATACATAAAACGCCGCCCCCGCCTTTTAACGGCCCACGTGTGAATTGTTGGAGTGAAGTCGCCATTGAGGAACCGACGGGAATTTTTAATAATAAAAGAATTAGAATTCTTAATAGAATTTTTCCCATAATATTTGGATTATCGACTGCGCTAAAGCTTAAAGAAGCCTTTAAAGTCCACCTACTGTCGAGTAAAACGCTTAACTGGCGTACGAATATTATTTGTAAATTAAGCGGACATGAACCTGTCTGCCAGTTTTATCAGTATTAACCAGGGTCTGAATAAGTATCATTTCCATTTCTTCTTCAAGGAATCTATAGAGGAGTTGGAGGAAATCGAAGAGGAGGAAAGCAAATTCTGCACTTTACCGCGCGGAGGGAACACGTTTACAATCCGTCAGGTGATTTTTCATAAAGGGCCCGAGTACAAACCCTTAGGATTTAGTATAGTCGGAGGCAGGGACTCTCCCAAAGGTAGCATGGGTATTTATGTGAAGACGATTTTCCCTAACGGACAGGCAGCTGATAGTGGCACACTAAAGGAAGGTTAGTACGAACGATAAATTTATAATTCCCTTAATCACCGGCTACCAATTAGTGGCTATATCGTATGGTTTTCTTTCATTTATTATGTATTATATGTTCAATTTTAATTAGCTATCCTTATACAGTATTAGTAGTACTGAGTTATTGCGTTTTGCGTTAATTAATTCTTCCTTAATGTCGACAAGCACGATGTTGTATGCTTTATTGAGTAAGAGTTAATTGGATTGCGCTTCATCCTTGTTATCAATCGCCCAGAAATGGAGGGAATTGTTCGGGTTAATTATAATTATCAATTATGGTTGTAATTGAAATGTTAGAGTTGTTGCGCAATTGGATTGTTTACCTTGGTGTTTTTTTCAGGCGACGAGATTCTAGCGGTGAACAGCAAACCCCTTCACGGTTGTTCTCATAAGGAAGCCATCAATGTCTTCAAACAGATCCGGCAAGGGTCCGTTTTGCTTCACATAGGTCGCAGGATCACAAAGAAACATCGAGATAAAAATTATTAATATTAAACTCAGGTTGCTTTGTCCAGTTGGACGGGAGTAACCAGAGTCTAGAAGAACTCAAGTTTAATGGGACTGTTTGGAAGTTCTTTTTCTAGTTTAAATACATTTTAATAATACTAATCTTTCGAAAATCGTTCCATGAAAACTTCATAGTCGACTGCTTTTTATAATACATTGTGAGTACCAAAGATAATGGACGTTATCAGCAAATCTATGCCTTTGCATAATTTATTTTGAGTAACGTTGTGCGAATGTAGCGTTAATGGTTGTTTTATATTTGTAGTTTTTAGTTTATTTGCAATATTCAGCTGTTCACTTTAATGTATTTCAATTCATATTACGTATAACCTTAACATCACTTGTAATTTAATATTAATTTTGAGGATTAAGGGTAGAATGATGTTATAAAATATACTATCATCCATTAAATTTCAATGTTTTTTTATCTGTAGGGACTATTTCAATTTTGTTAACTAGTTGATTTTAAATTTTGTGATAAATGAATTTCTCCATGTATCCAATGGTTTTTTAAGACATTTTATTATTTTTTTACAATATATTATTTCTTAAATTGGTTTCTTAATCTTGTTCCCCATAATTATCCCACTAATTTGTAAATTCTATTATCTACGAAAGTTTATTGCTCTTTATGAACAAACAATAAGTTCTAGAATTTGGTAAATTGATTTGATCCTTGCAGTCAATATGGGTAAACTAATGAATAAAAACCTGAATTTGTTAGTAGTTTTTATTTTTTTATATTATGTAAATTTAATGAACAAATTCTTACCTAAGATTACAAACGATAAATTGTCAACATACAATTTTTTGTACATTTTGTACCAAGTCGTTTAGTTGCCATAGCACCACGTATTCAGAAATAAATCTTTCAATATACAAATTAAAGTCTAAAGTTAATTGTAACGATTTTTTTGAAACATTTTCGTATGAACATGAACACATTAAATTAAGTTAACGCGAAATTATTAATTAAATTAATCGATTTTTTATTTTTAATATTTCGATTTATCAAATTAAGTCAGTCTTAGATTTTTTACTTTCATTGTTACACCGACAGCAGCTTCAGACAAATTTTGTGTTAGCAAATTGGCTGCTGTCATGTAAAATAGAAATATCGTCAAATTTCGTATAATCTCGATAGAAAAACGCATAGAAATAGTTTGTCAGAATGGAAAAGAAAGAACAAGAGCAAAATTCTCACAAAAAATAAAAAAATTAAGAAACGGGTAAGTATACCAAAATACCAATGTTAGAAACAATTAGAAAGCAACGAAAATTAAGCCCAGTTTTAAACAGTGTAATTTGTGTTAGCTATCTATAAATAAGCTGCTGTTGGAATTGTAAATAAAGTAACAGGCACAAATTACAATAGATTACAAAGAACCGGAAACGGATTTATGACGCGGGGATAGCACCACCACAACTTTGCCGCATTTAATACTTTTAAAAAACTGCACAGCCTCGCGATGAGATAATCCACGAAAAGAAATGTTATTAACTGAAACAATTTCGTCCCCTGAAACGAAAAAGCAACGTTAAATTCATTAATCAAGTTTCAATCTTATAATTAATTACACACCTTCTTTGATTATCCCGGAATCTGCGGCTTGTCCACGTTCAAATATCGTTTTAACATACACACCCATCGGCCCCCTTGGAGTATCCCTTCCTCCCACGATAGAAAATCCTAGAGATTTGCAGCCGGGTCCTTTGTGAAACTCGGCAATTTTATATTTGGATTTGTCGTATGTAGAGCAAGTTTCTTCGTTGAAACTCCCTTTTCTTCCGTGTAAATCCGGTGAAACTGAAAATTTTTTTATAAAGCCCGTCGTTTGTTGGTTGTCCTGTTGCGATTTCCTTGCATCCAGAACGGGAACGGCGGGTTTTTTAAAAATCTCATCGTCGTCTGTTCGAGGTTTCTCACTGAACGTCACTTGCGTTTCAACTGCGGGTTTATCCAAAATGTCTGATAAACCGACATATTTTTTTGGGACGTTTGGCACACTTATGGGCGAAGTAATGATGTACTTTCTAGTTTTCTTAACTTCGGGTATCTCTATTTTAGTGACATCCTTCTTAATGCTGAATAATGGTCGTCTAAGAGTTGATTTTCTCTCTGGACTGGCGGAAACTTTCCGTTTTTGACTTGGTTTGACAGGATTTGATTTAGTTGGATACGGCACACGCGATCGGGAGATTAACAAATCCAGTTCTCCAGATTTCGATTCCAAGTAAGTTTTTATTAAATTTATTGAACAGCCTTTTACGGAAATGCCATTAACTTTGATTATTTCATCGCCAACTTGCAAAATTCCATTCCTAAAAACCAAAAATATATTAAATATACAGGCTTTATTATATCAAACACGAACTCACCTTTTAGCAACAGAATTTGGCAAAATTTCCACAACATGGTATGTTGAAGATGAATTTCCTGCAAGGCTTGATTCAACTTTGATTCCCAGTACTTCGTTTCGACCATACTTCATCCTTACACATTTGTATTCCTTGTCTGTATATCCAGTGCAGAGTCTCCGTTTAGTTTGGAGATCTGCACTGTCGTTGTTTAATTTTAATTTATCACAGTAATTTTTAGTTAAATCGTCTACAGACACTTTCAATTTGTCTTTTTCTCTGTTAGTCTTAGTCGGGGATCGCTTGAATTTGAATGACTTTCTTCGTTGTTGAGATTCGATTTCTTGGCTTTTTGATCTGGAACGCTTTTTGGACGGTTTCCTAATGAAATCGTTGATGTCATCTTCTTCGGCTGTGTCTGTGTCATCTTGATAGTAATCACTGGTAGCTCCAGCGTTGCTTGTACCTTGATCTGAGGATACAGCGCTGTTCTGCGATTTAATAGAGCCTATTGGAGAATCTATACTCGTTGCGGTTTTAGTGGAATCGCTACCGTAACCACTTTCATCTGATTTGAATTTATTGGACATTTTTGGTGAACTATTGGACACTGACCTTCTACTGGGCAGTATAAAATTAATCAAGCTTGTCAGACTATCCGTAGAGGAGTTTTTAGGATGTAATTTCATGTCTCCTTCGTCGTCGGATTTACTAGACGATCGGGTAAAAATAGATTTCAATCTGGAAGTTCTGGATCTTTTTCCTTCTGTAAGTATACCCAACCTCTTAGAGTCGTGGTGGTCCCGTTGATCGTCAGGCAAGAAAATCTTATCAAGTTCTTGAGAATTAGGTTTCATTAGAAGTAAATAGTCCAATAATTGTTGTTGGCTGAGTTCCAAGTTTTCCGATATACATCTGCCGTTTCTTCTGCTCCTGCAAGTCATGTCAGTTCTGTCGTTCATGTTTCTATACATATCGTATATTTTCCGTAAATCAGACTGTGACAATTTCGATTCCAATTTTTCTTCTGAATTCCTAGAAGTAGTTGGATTTTTCGGATTTTTCTTCAGAGGGGACCAAGATTTTCTTCTATCTTTGCTAGAAGAAATTTGTTCAGAAGAATCGCCACGTGTGAGCTTCTCCCAAGTTCTTCCCCATGCGGAAAAATCTGCAACAAATCCAACACGTGAATTAGTTCATTAAACAAGTATGCAGATTTTTCGTTGTTGTACATTTCCGAATACAAGTGAATATAATAAATTTTATTTACATAATTATTATTCAGATGATAAAACGGTTTATCAGTCGACAGGAACAGTCGAGAAATAACGGCGCCAATATTTTATGATAAAATTGATGGTTGAATGAATCAATTATGGTTAAAAACTATCCACAATATTAATCACTTTAAGAAATAAATAACTGAATACTTACGTGATTTCGAAGATTCCTCATGGTCGCTATTAACTTCAGAATGAGTAGATACATTCTCTATCTGAGGATTCGGATCGGAACATCGTCGTTTGAACAATCTCATGTTGATTTCTACAAAAAAAACCTTAATTAAAAAAACATTTACTTACTTATCTTAAAATTTAATTAACTAATAAAAAACGAACTACCTATTGGATCAATCGAGCGTAAATCAATAAAACATAATCAGGAAAATATCACTTATTATATTGTTTCATCCGGTTGTATTAGTTATTAAAATTGCGTTTATTTAAATTCTTTATCAACATTGGCAACGCGAGTTCAATGAATACGTAGATACTATTATGAAAACAAAAAAAAATCATGACCGCTGATTGGTTTAAAATTTTCGATTTTTAATTAATTCGCAAAATTTTAATTTTCAAAATAGTTTGTTTATTTCGTCTTGAAATCCAGATGAAAGCCCACGATTGCGGTTTTGCATTTTAAAATAGCTGGTATTTAGAAGGTTGCTAAGAAAAAAAAATAACCTGCCTCCCGCATCCCACTTATAAACAGCCTACATGAGTATAGCTGTTTATTAATTCCAAATAATAAAGTAAGGAAGAAGTAGGTAATGATATATGGGTAGCCCCGTTTTATTTTTTTTTGCTTGCTTTAAATTTACATATAGCGTGTTGACTTTAATTTTATTTTATTGGGTATGAAATTATATAATGGCTTCAATGAATTTATTGAAAATAATTTAAACGTTAAGTTCAACGACCAAAACATTTCAAGTTGTTTATTGGAAATGAATCTAAAAAATACTATTTACGACATTAAAATAGTAATTAATCTACAGGGCATTAAAAACAACACATTAAAATCAATATCAACTTTAATTCAACAAATTCAAAGTGACTTAATACCTATACTAATTCTATCCAAGAATAATGTAGCTTAAAATAAGTGTCTCAGTTAGGCGTGATGCACAGGTTCAGGAAGAAAAAGTAAAAAAGTAAGAATGTCTATGGAACGTCCGGTTCAAATTTTAAGACATACACGTTTTTGTGTTTTGCGCTATTACAACTCAAACGTATTTAAAAATAAATTTCTAGTAAGTCACAAATATGTATGCGGTCATTATCGTCAATTTTTTAACGAACAGGGAACAATGGCGAATTTCAAAACAACATCTATAATTGTCGTTGCAAATTTTCAATTTATTTGCATTGAACCTGTTGAGAAATGCAGAGAAATATGATAAAATATGGAATGCTTTTAAAACCCACACCGATGGATGTTAAATAAACATGAACGGTCTAACAATTTTCTTTTAATGTTAAAAAAATCTTAAACAAATGCCGGTAATAATCGTATAGGTAATGGGATAAAATGAAGATAATTTTGTTGCATTCTTTGTATCTATTATATTTAAAACGTGACTTAATGTTTTTAATTAGCTTAACAATTGTTTCAACGATTTACGCAGTAAATCATTTAATAAAAGTTAAATATTTAAATTTACAAACCAGAGTGGGTTGAAATTTCTTAAACTATAAGAAATTAATCAATAAATATTCCCTTGCAGAGTGCAGATACTGAACCACAATTTCCAAAAGGTTATACCATAATTACCAATCTGCATACCCGTATTTAAAAAGAATACTCTTGCAGTAAATGAAAATTATGTACAAACAATTTACACGTCAAGGACTGCCATTCTATAATATAAACGTATACCTACATAAACCTATAATATGCAACTATACAGTGTGACTGATAAAGCTGTTAAAAATTTCATAAACTACGTACGTAGACCTTTATATCGAAAAAAAATCAAATTCAATTTCCTGTTTATTCAATAAAGTTAATTAAATCAAAAAGTTGTGTCCAATAAAGAAAATTTTAGGTAGGTAGTCAATAAAGAACTGTGCGTATGTAGGTAGCACGATCTGTTGACAAATTGATCTAGCTATAATCATTAACTTTGTTATTTTTTTAATCTTGTTTAAATGGGTTTGATCTATTACGTTATATAACACATTGGCGCAAAAGTGGTATATTGGAATATTACGAGTGGCAGGTGCAAGTACTACTATCACTACATTTTTTATAAAAATATACGTACCAAAATAAAAATGAAGATTAACAAAAATTAAACATTATTTCACTGAACGAATAGGGCAAATTTAAAATTTGAAATACCCAAGTGAATCAACAAATTCATTACCATAAACTGTACCTGTCCGATATTAAGAGCTACCTACTCCAACCGAATAGTTGATTCCCAGAAGGAATTAGGTATCAAATTTCAAGGAAGGCCATTCAAAATGATAAAATTTTCTTTTAATACCTATTCTAATACGCAATTATTACAATAAGGTTTCGGCGGCCGTACTTTTATTCTCTAATTGCATAGATGCACATTAATCCAATCCTTACCCGGAAGGATTAATAAGTTTTGAAGGTTTTCCCAAAAGAGGAGCCAGATAGTATTGAGAATATTTGACATTCTTGTAAAATATTGTAGGAATAAATTTATTCCGATTGCGTGCTAATTATTTAAAAAAAAACATAAATTGCTTTATAAAATAGTAAATTATTTAAAGATGTTGAATGCCCACACGCTAAAATAAATTCTGAAAAATGTGACTCATATTTCATTCATTGCGACATATAAATTTTAACCAACTTTATTAAGTAATATAATTCACAATCTACAATATTACTTCTTTGACATATTTTTACTACAATATTTACCTTAATAAAACTCTTATCAGCAGTAAGATTTCTGAGAAAAAATGAGCGATTGTTCATTTTTGTGGTAAGGTTTGGTCAATATCGTGAATAAATAATCCTGAAATCTAAACTTAGGCCCTTTAATTGAAACTAAAGGTGACAATTGATGCGAGTGAATAATTTTATCAACAGATATTTTTAGGGTGGTAACCTTGTTTTATTTTCATCCTAGTAAATATGTAATAATCTTTGTTTCATTCAATAAAAGAACCTTAATTGTTCGCGATATCTTTCTAAATAAAAAAAAATAGTTAAAAGAATGATTAACCGCATTTTATAATAGTACAATAAGCCAAATTTAATTTAATTCATTAAAAAGATTTGTATAAATTTTGTACGAAAACAAAAAAGAATCAAAATATTGTGGATATTTTGATACAAGTATAAAAAATGATAGAAATACAAAATGTACTTTTAATTATTTTATATTCAATTAAACACCTTGTTTTACTGAAATATTTTTAAACTTGAGCATAATGAGAAAATGTATTATTTGGGCATTGTACACCAAAAAAACCTTCAGATATCTTCCGCCAATTCGAAAAAATGCGAAAAATTTCTAAGATCTATTTAAAATTCGCGCACACATGTTTCAGCACCCGAAACAACCAAAATACCAAAATTCAATCTTGCGTTACTAAAAGTATAAAAAACAATAAGTAACTTACTGCAATAGATACACTTGATAATCACATCTGATGTTTATTGCAAAACTAAGACCGGTTCAAAACATACGAGTGCACTGAAATCGAGAAAGTCCACTACACACTTCTGCTAACGGTAAGGAAATAATAATAATCCACTGAAATACTGAAAAGGACGCGCGATTGCGAATGTACCTAGACTGGAATATTTCCCCGCCCTCTCTGTCGCTTCAGATAAGTTTTTTTGGAGCGATTGTTTATCAAAATGATGATTAATATTAATCATTCAAATACGCAAAGAGGATATAATTTGCGGTTTATTTATCAAGAATCGGAACCCAAACCCAAAACATAATTACTCGGGTATACTATAGGAAAAGAATGTTACTCAAATGTTAATTCAATCCTTTTAATTAGTCAGGTAGAATTCTGCGGCTTTAAGATGATTGTTGATTTTTGGCAATATATTCAAGTCAAGTTCCGAATTTTCTAATTAAAAAAATAATAAATATGTTTTAATCGCTATAGAAATCGAATCTTTGTAGACATTTTAAAAATTACACAGGTTTAATTTTTTGATGTCAAAATCGCAGGCGACTTGATTACTTTTTTAATATAAAAGTAAAAAATCGAAAAATTTTCAAAGGTACCTACCAAAATCTCGATAGTTTTTTCTTTATACTTATGTATACTTAAAAAAAAAAGAATTCTTACCAATAGACATTTTGGACGTTTCTTGAAGTTCTCAGTGAAGAAACAGATTTGGGATAATTTTTCCCGGTTGTCAGTTGTCAATTTTATCTTGTAATTCGCTTTAATTGTCCTTTACAAAAATTGTAAAGACCTATTTCTAGCAAAATAATGACTTGCGAGCATTAAAAATTAACTTCTATGACGTTGCATAATACGGGGTGACCCAAAAAATACGTACCATGATATAAAAACTGTAAGGAGTTTGAGCTCCTGAAATTTTAGATGTGTCTAGAATATTTGTGTTTATAATCCAGTGCGCGGAAAAAATTGACAGGTGAATAACCAATAGAAATGTAAAATAACCTCTTTTTGAACACATGCGACACCACCTTTATAGCATATGTATAATGTGTTAAAGGATCTAGAGTCGCTGGAACAAGAGATTTTTTGAATGTAGACAAACACTTGAAACACTTGAAAATCGAGAAAATTATAATACGTAAAAAAGTAAAAATACAGAGTGCCTCGAAAACATGTAACTAACTTTAAAATATCAAACTCAGAGCTCCTTACATTTTTTTTGTTAATGTTTTATTTGGCATTTTTTACATTAAGGGATATATCAGACTTTGTCAACTAAATTGATGCTTCTAAACAAAGAACACCTGCTACCCATCAAATCATCAAAACAATTCGTAATAAAATACAATTTTTTTAATTAGGAAAACATTTCAAGACTAAAATAAGTTATCTAAAGTTAAGGCTACATAACCAAATAATGTATCACTTCGTATAAGCGGAAAATATCAAACCAAAACAGAAATAATTAACATCGATATTTACAAACATACAGTTTGTCCTATAGCTTAAACGCAAAATGCACATTCCACTTATTCTCCTGGTGTAAATAGATTTCCTTCAGCCCTTGATAATATCAGAGTCATCCATTGCGATTACATTATGAAATCAGAGATCAGGTTTGGAAATTCCAATTTCTGCAGAAATGCGAATAAAATGTGTTGCACCTATTGGCGACAGACTGTATGTTTTATTGCTTCCAACTTTCGGACAAATTGATAGACAAAGTTAATTATCAATTATTACACTTTATGAACTAGTCCATTTGATACAGTAAATTTTAGTTTAAAAAATTTATAAAGGCGCAAAGCGCTATCACTTGGTGTTTCCTTAAGTTTTCCATTACGACATTTTGTTGATTATGGATGAATGAAGAGAATTTAATTGATTAGCCCATCGATCTAAAGCGTAATATCTTGCATGGTTCACTGTTGCTCGTTCCAAAAACAGGACTTGATTCACTTGGTCTATACGACCTTGGATTGTACTAAAATGTAAAAATATGTAATCAGTAACTTCTAGCTAGCAATATGTAATTAGTATAAATATAATAAAAATGTATTTACTTGTCTAATATACACGAAACAAGAAGGCTCTCAACCTCAGACACATCAATATTCAACTCGGTGGAAATAAATGGTATTTGTATCCTTGTGTATGGCTTTATTAATTTAATAAGCACTTGAGTCCTGATGTTACGGAGCAAATCTAAAAAATACACTTTTAGTCTTACTAAGTTTTATATGAAGAGATATATTACCCTCGATATGCTCCCGGATAAAAGGATCATCCATAATATTTTGTCTATTTTGCTTTAAAATATGCTCAAATTCATTGATATCGTTATTTTGGTAAGCATTGACTAAGTTGGTCATCGCTAAAATCTCCGGATCGTTCTTGTAAGGCTTAGCTTCTTGCGAATCAAATGGATTTATACCGGATTTCATAAGCCTAAATCAACAACGATTAGTCCCGCCATTCCGAGCAGATATACTTACACTTACATATTGGCCAGGACTAAATACTTTAAACAAGTTGTACGCCTAGGACTACCCGATTCATCGTAGTTCTTGAAAGCTTCGAAAAAATCAGTGTGCGCCTTTTCGAACTCCCCTTCTCTGAGGTGCATCTTACCGCCACATTCTGCAATTTATGAAGCAATTAGAAATCGTGGAAACCGTTAATTTTGAAACCTTACCTCTAATAACGCCCATGATCAACGGATGAGGTATTGCAGATTTAATATGCAGGGATTGTTCATACAAAGTTTTGAGTTTCTTATTGTTTTTCTGTGCCGTGTACATTTGGATTTCTAAAGCATAAATTTCAAGGAGTTGCGTCCCCTTTTTAAGATCGTCCTCGCCCTCATCAGTTTGACAGGACTGATGGAGTTGTTTCAAGATTTTAGCTAATTTATTAAAATCTCCTCTATCGTAATATAGTTTGCCCAGCTTCGTATTCGTTTTAAACCAAAGTCTGTCGTTTTTGGCATCTTTTAAAGCTTCTAACGTGGTCTCGTAAAAATTCTGTAGTAGTTCCATCTACGAAACAAACGGTTAATGCATCGTCTCGCTTCATAGCGATATACTTACATTCCTTGAAGTTGAGATATAATCCAAGATTGAATTAATAGATTTTTCACTATGATTTCTAGTTACGGCACTTTTAATATATGTAAGAAGTTGCTTATATCTAGTCATCATTTCTTCGAAATTACCCTGAATTCCAACGAAATGCATCATTAGCGCTTTAAATCGATAATAAAATAATTGTGTGAGAAACTTACCAATTTAAAATTAATTTTAATCATTTGTTTCAACGCTTTGAAGCCCCATTCGCCCTTATCGCCGCTTTCCAGATCAAGAACTTTTTGAAAAGAGGCTAGTGCACTTGTAGGTTCATCTTCTTTAAGAGCTTTGCTATTGTAGTACTGATTTTCTAAGTCTACATCAGGTTCTGAGTTACTATCTTCCGAATATTCCTTCAATCAACAAAGTTAAATCAGTTCAAAATTCAAATGCATGTTCTACCATATAACCGACATTGCAATAACACCGGAAAATTAGTTATACATTTTGTTTATATCGTGTATTAATAAGAGAACTAAACATGAATCAATAATAAAGAAAATAATGTCGACAAGATCTTTTTGTGAATAAAACTGGGAAAAGCTTATATATTTATAAACTTTAATGTAGGTTATGTACATAAAACAACTTACCAAACCATAATCCTCCTCATCATCACACATAAAATCATCCTCATTATCGGACATTTTCTATTCTTTGCTTAATAATAACCTTTTTTCTATTATAGCCACTAATTGAACAAAAATATCCAGAATTATTATAGAACTTTGGCTGGTTTTTTTTGCTTTTTTTATAGAATGAAGGGTTATTTATTGAATAGGATTGACAATTGACATTGACACAAGAATAACGAATAAATCGATAAAGTTGCTGTCAAATGTCACATTCATGGAATCGATTCCACTTTTTTATACAAAAAGATATAAACAAATAATCTCAAATTGAAGTATGTCTGTTAAAATTATGAGATTTGGTTCCTAAATTTAAAATTTAAGTTACGTAACTCACTTGTAAATGAACAAATAAGCAAATAATAATCACGGTGCGATAATCGATTATTTCGTATGATTGTACGTCTTTTTTTGGGGGATTTAAATGTAAACGATGGATGGCCTTTTACTTTGGTGGCAAGTATTTAAGGAAATTTAAAGAGAAAAATTTATTTTTAAATTTCAATCGAAAATTGACAATCTACCGTTTCTACATATAAGCTTCGATTTCAAATTTACCAATAATTTGGAGTAATTTGCTTAAAACCGAAAATACTTTTTTTAATAGAAACTAAATAGTCACAAGAAGTGCAAGAGTGCAAATATATTCTTCCCAATTAGATAATTTATACCAGAACATAGAACTTACTTAATGAAAATATACATTTGTATTAAAATTAACAAGCAAGACTATTTAGAATACACATGCAATTCTTATTATGCATAAATGGAGTATTTTCAGAAATCTCACTTATTAAGGAAGAAAACTTTTATACAATATCTTGCCAATAGTATTCTCTACGGAAAATTTCTAAAAAATAAAAAAAAAACTGAGAGACATCTGAAAAACTCCCGAAATTGTGAAAAATATATTTAGTTTAGTTACTCCGAAAGAAATAAGTTATATAGTACATTAATAAAAACGTTCCTATGTAATCAATAAAAATACTAAACATATAATTACAATGAAATGTTTGCGCCTGCTATATCTTAGCCTACCGAGATACAATCTTAATATTTCTGAAAAATGATTATACACGCTGTTATCGAAAGTATTAAAGTCGTTACATGTCACGTAAAAGGAAACATTTCCTATCGAATAAACATTATAAAACTGTATAAGATATGTTATACGTAATATAGGCAAAAGTTTATATTTTCACTCCTTTCATTAAAAACTCTCGGAACTATATAGTGCAGTTGTATTAGCTAAAACCCGTTGTATGCTTATGTTAATAAATTTTAACAATTAACTACGGACCCAATGCTTAATGCATAATTTTAATTTAGCTCGAAACAGGGCCAACACGGTTTATATTCGACTTTTACTTGGTAAATATTTATTTTAATGGAATATCACTCTACTATAAAATATGCTTCGAAATTTGAATAAAAGATGCCTGACCGGTGCAAAATTGGCTATTGTAATTGTACTATAGTGATGTAAGCAACTTAAATAACAGAACAAAAAGCTTATGATTTTTTACATTTTAATTTCTACAAACACACCAATACATACTACCCACAAATATTCTATAATCGATTACGTATAGCCAATCTTAATGCTTCATTATAACATTTGCCTGAAACTAAACGTTTACAGAATAAAAATATTAATATGAATACTATTATAGTCACCTAAAGTTGATCCAATTAATCTTTTTTCAGCTAAAATCTTAGTCAGTAGAACATCGCAAATGATCTATAAACCGATGCACGTTATTTATGTAAATGATACGTCGATTTTAACTATTCTAATTTAAAAACAGTAAATTTCTAAATCATTTGTCACATTTTCCAACAGATGAGCAATGCACATTTTCCAGAAATTTTATGCAAACATAAGTTGTATTAATAATTCAGTGTTACATGTTGATCACTTTGTAATCATACAAAACATGCAATTTTATACATTATTAAATTAAAAGCATATCTGATATCACTAGTTTTTACGGCATTTTTATTTCAATCGAATTATTAATTACTAGCTACTTAAAATAATACGCAAATTATGTATAAGTCATTTTAAATGGGACTAACTTTAGAAATCTTCACAACTAATGAGTCCGTTTATACAGTTCGTTGTTATTTTAAATTTATGATGCTTGAGATTCCAGTTGGCGTTGAAAAAATTTCTAAGCATAAAATATATTAAGATTACATAAAAACTGAACAACTTGCACATTAAACTACCCAGTAATCTATTTTTAACAGTAAAATTTTCAAACACCGGTGGATTATTTATTGTGCAAGTAGTTAGTAGTCTATAAATAAATAAGTCATTAAATTAAGTGCATCGCAAAAACAATATCATACTTAGTTTTAATAAAAATTTAATTATATTTTGCGATATCAACCCAAAAATGAGCCACAGCTAAATATTTATAAAATGTTATTAGCGAAACTACTTTCAAGAAATTATTGCGTTTACTATGACTCAAAGCAAGCGAATTTGGTCCAAAATAGCACAGTATTAAAGTTAACCCAAATAAAAAAATAAATACTTATTATAAAAAACATAAGAAAAAACAAAATAAAAAATAAATTATTTATTTATAACCATTGCATTAACTACAAAATGTACCTCATCTGAAATTTATCACAAGCTTTAATAATATTGAAGGATTCGTAAAATAATATATTCTTAAAAAATATAGGTATCCTCAAAAAATAACTTGCAGTGCTATTATTAGACCAAACGTGAATCAAAACGTGGAATAATTCAACAATAAATAAACTATAGGTCTTTCAATATAACACTTAAAAATAATATGAACAATATGGTTACAAGCATAATTTTAACGTAAATCGGGGCTCTCATTGAGTTGCTTTTTAATACGCAGCAAGATCGTAGTATACCAAGGATCTAAACGAGAGATAGAATCGTAATCATTGACAGCATCTGTATATCCATCAACATTCTGCTCTTCAATGTGTTCCATCAACGTTTTCAACAATTTATATTCCCGGGAATCTTGAAATGCAGGATACCTATAAACCCAACAAATCGATATGAAAATTATTTAAAGAATTCACGAAAATTACCTTTGAATATAACTTTCTACAGCATGCTGGGCATTGAGAATATCCACACATAAATGGCAGAGAGCGGCCCTAAACAGGTACTCCTTAGCACTGTATTTTAACAGGGAACTCTCTAAAGCCGAAAAAGCTACTTCTTGGTAGATTTGTATTGCTTTTTCGTAGTTTTCGAGCTGTGCTGCGTACTGGGCCACTTTTAGAAGACATTTGTTTGCGGATGAATTGCTCTCTTCGCCTCGGAAGTAGTCCGCAGCCTGTTCGTAGTGCTGAACGGCTCGTTCTAGGTCAACGGGATCAGTCTCGTACATTTCGGCAATGTTTTGATGGTACTTGGCCGCCATCGTAAATTTACCCATGTCTGTATAGATTTCTATAGCTTTCAGCAAGCAATTAACAGCCTCTGAAAATGAAGCATATAATTAAAAAATTGTAGTGTAACAATGTGCATTAAACTTACCACTAATGTCAGCTTTCTTATAGCAGTTGGCTGCGTCTACGAAATTAGTAGCAGCGTCATGACGAGCCCCACTTCTCGAATGCAAGTTTGCTGCTTCGCAAAAGGCCTTTCCAGCAGCATCCCAATTTTTCGCCATTTTAAACAGGTTTGCAGCCCTTTGGTAACATTCCACTGCATCTTCGATGCGGCTGGACCCTCTAAAATAAACGTATTTACAGAAACAAATGCGTTGTTGATAAAATATTTACAAAACCAGGAAATGGTTACAATCACCATAAAGTGTTGGAATATGTATCCACTTACCCGAAGAGAGATCCGAAGAAACCCCTCGAGGACACTTTCTTCTCAGCTTCAGCTATTAATTGCTGAGCCTTCTGTGCATTGGATGACATTTTTCAATAATTTTCTTTACAAAAATTCTACAAAACAAAAATTTTCCTCGATGACAACAGCTATTGACAAATTAATTCTGTTATTCGTGGTAGGTGTCACTTTTACTTACGTCAGATTTTCAGCATTGCCAACTGCTTAAAAACTAACTGTTCGTTCAATCGTTCACTTTCTATCTCTTTTTATCGCTACTATTAGACAAGGATAAACTATTGTTGAGGAATTTCGGATAATTATTTGTAAACGTCAAAAAAATTACAATTTCACTTATGAGGTTATGTTTTTGTAAATTGTTTTTGAATTATTATAGTTTTAATTAAATATGAAAGATTTATACCTTACTGATAGTGTTAGGAAATTAGATGTTTTAGCTAAGAAGGATGACGTTATAAGCAAGCTTAAAAAATCCCACAAGTATAATAACGCAAATAAACTAATTGAAAAATTGTCTTCACTGTAGTTTGTTTCAGGTTTACGCATTTTGCCAATTTAATAATGACCCAATTACTGGAATGTATGGACGACCAAGAAAAATGTTACATTTTGTGCAAGAGATATATCAATCTAATGGACTACCTGTTTGAGATATCCGATGATAAAATTTACACACAATCGCTACATTTGAGCGATTACCGCAAAGTTAAGCTGTTAGTAGACGAATTGAAAGAAAGTCTGGAGAAAAGGTAATTAATATTGCCAGTTTTATGAATATTTCGTCTCGACACAATTCCACAGTTTACTTGGATGTGCCAATAAGCTTAACATCTGTCAAAAACAAAATTTGTCATTTTGGCTAATAAATAAATCGCTCTATTTTTCAAAATGAATTTCTGTATATGCAATATTATTTACTCGGATGTTTATTATTCCAGATATCAAGCATTGTTTAGAGAACCGGTACCGCAGTCACCAACAAATGCGGTGCCACCGGCCACCAAAATGGAAATCGGAGATGCCCAAATTTTTAAAGGTTCACTTCGAGAAGTGTTTATTTGACAACTAATGATAAAATTTGTACTTTTTTTAGATAAATTCATAATTCCTCGCGATTTGTTTCATATCCTTCAAAAAGAGCAAAATTTCTTATTAGTAGACATAAGGTCCCAGGCTGATTTCAATAATTGTAGGATTAGTTCTAAACATGGAACGATTATTAATATACCAGGAGATCTTATTGTACCTGGGTAATTTTATTCATTAATATCTTGTTTTCTTATTTAGAAGATCACAATTTTTAGATTATCGGCTAACACGCTAGGCCAACGGTTGGACAATTCACTGAAGAGTATTTGGGAGAAAAGAGACCAGTTCGATATTATTATTCTTATGGATAGTGATACTCAGAAATACAATTTCGTTGGTTCGAAAATCGAAAGATTGCGGAGTTTCATTGTAGAGGTATTTTATATGATTCACATTATTTTAAAACAAAAATTTAAATTACTTTTTTAGTGGGATACACTTCGTAGTTATAAACAAGAACCTGTTGTATTAAATGGTGGTCTTAGGGAATATGTAGAATGGTACCCTTCATCTGTGGACAATTCTCAAGCGTTCTTGAACCAAACAAACTTGGAGATCGATGAACTTTTGGACCTAGACAGCATTATTTACCCCGAAAGCGGCTCGACCAAGCAAATGAACCTAAAATTACACGATTTGAACACTGTAAATATCGAAACCCGTACCAAAAATGATCTTGAATTGGTCGAAGACACTAATGGTAATTATAAGTTTGAGAGTGAAGGAAATTTGCCTCAGGATTCGTTAATTTCGAAAGTCGATCCTTCATCAGATCAAACCGTTTCAAAAATACCCGAGCCAGATGCTTCATTTCCTCCTTTATTTGAAGGAGAACAATTACCGCAACAGAAACCAGAGGTACCTGATGTCGACATGAACTTGGATATTAAAAAAATTCTGAAAGGCGACAAGGCTGCGTTATTAAACGAGGCTCGTAAAACTAAACCAAGATACGATATAGGAGAGCCTCAGGAGAAGGGCGACAAGAGAAGAGAAAGACCTGAAGACACTAAAGGATCTAGCCCAAGGGAAAAAGAACCAAGATTAAAAGAACCTAGTTATCCAGATAGATTTGTTTTTTCAAAACCCGCTCCTCCAACAATAGATAGATCTTTTAAACCTGTACCTGTAAGTAATACTCATAGGCATTCACGATTTGAATTACATATAACATTTTCTAGCTTATCGGCGAAGGATTCACAGGATTAAGAAATGTAAAAAATATATGCTACATGAACGGTTTATTGCAATGTTTAAAAGTTATACCGATTCTAAAATCCCTATACGTCACTACAGAGCGTTACATTAGTTACACAACCAGAACACCTCCCAAATTAAACTTCCATTTCGCTCAAGTAAGTAAAACGAATCGATCGATATCTTCTTGCAGCTTTCGCGTTTCAGGTACTTAGAGAGCTGTGGGGCGGTACCTACCAAAAGCCCAAGGTGTTCCTGATCCAGGAATTCAAAGACAGGATCTGCGAATTCGCCCCGATGTACGACAGAAACACCCACGAAGATTGCTTCGAGTTCTTCATGTTCCTCTTCAACGCGCTCAGCGAGGACTGCGCCGTGGACTTGCCGCGCTTGAAGATGATGACGGAGAGCGAGAAGGCTTGGTACGGCCATCTTCAAGGCAGAACGTCCTTCCTGGTGGACAACTTTTACTACCAATTGAAAAACACGAAATTCTGCTGTAACTGCAAGAAGGTGAACCTTTCGTTCGAAACGGATAGTACTCTAATGCTGCCCGTTGCTACAAGAACTAGCCATTTGAGAGACATGATAGCGGAGTACCTGCGGGAAAGTAGGCTCACCGATTTTTCTTGCTCGAATTGCAAGTCCACCGGTACTATCATTAATAAAAAAGATCTCGTCGTGGAGCCTGAAGTGCTGGTTATTGTTTTAAAAAGGTATTTATTTGTGTTATGTTGAATACAATTTATCTAATTTATTTTTTTATTTTAGGTATATTGCAAATTCTGATGGTACGTTCCGCAAGAATGAGGTTGAAGTAGGTTTTCCATTGTACGACTTGCAATTTGGCAAGTACAGATACAATTTATACGGAGTCGTGCAACATTCAGGAGGAATGCAATTCGGTCATTATTACGCTTCGGCTCTTTTAAACGATAAAAAAGGTACTTGGGTACTGTTTAACGACGAATCGATATCGATTCATCCGAGTCCTGTAAACGAATTGCCTCAAATTAAATCCGGAGCGGCTGGTTTTTTCTACGTTCGCAATAAATAGAGTTTCTTTAAGGTACATGTGATATGAAAATAATATGATAACTCTCATTCCACTTACTGTATTTTTGATACGATATTGTAACGTTTCATATTCTTTTATATAATCCTTGTGTTATTATTTATGTGCTAAATAAGTGCCTGATACTTGTAATTTTTTTGTTTTACGCGCTAGTTATGAAATTGTTGTTGATTATGTTTAAATTTATGAATTACACGACGGCCTCATTATTTTTATCATTGTGATTTACTTGTCTGGTGAATAGGTGAAAAAACAATTCATTATAATATGTGTAAATTTATTAATAGAGATCTCTCATATGAATATTATTATCCGTTCTAATTTAAAAAAATATAAAGCCTTCTTAAGCCGTTGATTCGCCCCTAATAACAAATCAAGAATTTACTCATTCATTTCATTATTTTCTAGTCAATTAATTATCTGTCGACATTATCTGTTACTGATTTGAGCAATAGCAGTAAATCATATCATTTAATTCTATTGTCGTTTTGCATTTGTACTTTACAACTAAAATGAATCTGGTATTCTATTTTCTAAGTTATTGTATTATAATAATATGTTATACAGTTATACAGAAAAAATGCATTTTCAAATATCGAGATAAGTTGTTTTGTTACACTTGTCTAATTATGACAAACATTGGGAAAAATGTCTATCTTAAAGAAAAAGAAGTCTTAAAATTGTAAGTGTTTTTATTAAACATAAATTGAATGAAAACTATAAAATGACATTGCAATTTTAAGGCAAATATTGATACGTCATATCTACAAGTGTTTATTAGATTAATTTAATCATTACAAAAATATTTTTGGTTATGCAAATTTACCATGAGATTAGTTTTTTTTCACACAATAATGATTGAGCAATAATTATTGTCAACGTTAATTCAAGTAACTAAAATTTTTAAAGTTATCCAGCATGAAGTGCAATTTAACAAATGCATTATTTTTATGAGAAATAAATTACTCTACGTTTTTTATATTTTTCTTAAACATTCGCCTTAAATTCTCAACAGTCCCTTTCTTGCACATTTCTTCCCGGCACGCCTCTTCTAAAAGCTGCTGCTCCTCCTCGGTGCAACTGAACCCCGCAATTTTTTTATTAACTCGCAGCACCTTCCACTTCTCTTGGTGCACCGATAGAACGTTCTGAATGGTCTCTCTAGTATCCGGATCGACTTTCCCGCTTAGTTTAGGCACAGGCAAATCGTCACCTAAAACCTCCATTGAAATATCCTCACAATGATTGATGTTAAAGGCTCACCTAGAAGAGCTTTCGCGCACATGGTCATCGAGAGAGCGGTGCTCTCGAGGTGATAACCGCCTTCCAGCGCGACGAGCAGCTTCCCGCACGCGAGCGGCTTCAGCGTTTGCACAAAATGACCATAAATTTCCGGCGTCAATTTGTACCCGTTGCCCAAAGGATCGAAATAAGCTGCATCGAATCCAGCCGATACGATTACGAATTCCGGGTTGTATGAATACGCCAGCGGCAGCACGAGTTTCAACCAGACAGTCCAATAATCGTGCTCGGTTTTGTTGCCCTAAATTCGAAGTTTTTAACATAAAGAAAATGTTAATTTAATAGCAATTAAATACCTTATTAAATGGTATGTTGATGTTGTAACCATCTCCTTCCTTCTCGCCTGTGTAGGTGTAGTTAGCTTCGGGCGAAAATGGGAAATATTTCGCCTTATCGAACCGATGAATTGAAATGTACATGATCTCTTTTTTATCGTAAGTAAGCCGTTGAGTCCCGTTACCGTGGTGTATGTCAAAATCCACAATTAGTATCCTAGTAAATTAATTAAAATCACAAAACTTTATACACGATTACACAACGAACCTTTTGTAATTCTTCTCCCTGATGAGATATTCGGCGGCTATAACTACATTGTTGACGAAGCAAAATCCGGAGGCTTCGTCGAAGCACGCGTGGTGCCCCGGGGGCCTCACCACAGCAACACCGGACCGAACGTGCCCTTCGTGTATGGATTCCGCCAGAGATAGGATGTTAGAGACGCATTTCAACACGCATTTCGCGGTGTCTGCGTTAAAGAACCAATCGGGCCTTTGCTCGACGTTTTTCTGCGCTAAAATATCACCCGCGTAGTTCTCCTGGTGCACGATTTTGATCCACTTCGCCGGGTCACGGTCGCTTTCCTGCAACAAACGCGATAGAATAACAAACTAAAAGCGAGCGCGGTGTTTACTTGGATTTTTTTACATCGCTTTAGTAGATCGAACTGGTCGAAGGTTTTGATGATCTCCAACAGCCTTTCGGGCCTTTCCGGTATGTTTCCGTGGTCACCTGCCGGTTTGTGTTTTAGAAGAAAATCGTCGTAAACGTAACCGACTACATTCGGTTTCTCTCCAGTTATAAGGTACTCTTAAAACGTACAATTAAATGGTTTATGAGCGAGTAAGGTATTATATTTATAATACACACCATTCCTGAGATCGTTGACCATTTTTAGATACATTTTAACCTCATCTTCTGTTCTGATCGGGTAAAATCCCGTTGTTTCGAACTCGGTCATCTCTTTGGGAACGAATTTATAAGATAAACAAGACAGATGCTCACTGGTTTTATCAACATCTAAGCAATTTTGCAGTTCCACGTTTTTCGGATAGGAGAATAGCGAGTCTTGTTTAAAACACTCCCAGTAGTCGCGTAAAAAATACTTGGTATTGTTGATGACTTCGATAAGACTAGAATTGATTTCTGGTTTTGCGGAAATAGGATGGCATGCGTCTCCTAATAAAGCCTTCAAAGTACAGGCTACTCCTTCGGCTACGGATTCCGGAAAATATCCTCCCTCCAAGCACACGACGATTTTACCATTAGCTAGCCCAGACAGGAGGGTTATTAAGTGGCTGTAAAAGTGTGGCGTGACCAACATTTCGCCCTAAAAAGTAAAAAACTTAAAAGTGTGAAGACTAAGTGGAATTTTAAATGAATACGAATTCGAGGGAATTGGCGGATGGAGCAACTAGATTATCTCACCTTTTCGTCTCCCACACATGAGTCAAAGCCAGCTGAGACAATGATTAAGTCTGGTTTAAACTACAAAAATTAAATAAGTGAATTAAGGTTATTTACCTCAGGACATCCTAGAGCAGAATCATAACCAGCGGATATAAGGATTAAGTCGGGTTTAAACTAAAATAAATACAACATTAACGATGCGAACGAAAGACGAGAATTTTGTAAGCAAACAATGAGAGTACCTCGTAAGCTACAGGCAACAGAACATTCAACACAATCGCTAGGTAATCAGCATCTGTTAGGCCAGTTTCGTTCAACGGGATGTTAATATTGTAGCCCTTTCCCGCGCCTTCTCCCACGTAATCGGACTCGCTTTCTCTCAGGTTAGGCCAGAAGAGACCGTGCTCGTAGCGATGGATGGAAAAATAAAGCACGCTGCAAAACGCTCGGGTAGACATTTTGTGCATAAAATCGAAAACACGTACTCATTTCTATCGTAAAACATTCGTTGGATGCCCTGCCCGTGGTGCACATCGTGATCTACTATTAGAACTTTCTTCGCCAGTCCCTCATCGATGGCCGTTTGGGCTGCTAGGGCTACGTTGTTTAGGAAACAGTAACCGCAGAATTCGTCAACCATCGCATGGTGCCCCGGGGGCCTTATCAAGGCGAAACCGTTCTTCAAGTTGCCTTTTGCTACCTCTAACGTCAGCGCTATCGCTGCTTCTGCGGCCAATTTCGCGGCCGAGAAAGTGTGCTGCATAAATCGAAGCATTACGAACGCAATAAACGATCAATATAATGCAATACCTGAGTAAAATAAACCGAATCGAACTTGGACGATTCGTGCTCGAGCTGGTCGTCGGTTACGCTTCGAATGGCTTTGAGTTTCTCGTACAAATTTTTAGTGTGCAGCTTCAAGAAGGCTCTGTCGGGGAGCTCCGTAGGGACGATGTTAACGCACCTTTCTCGGAGTTTCAAAGCGGCTAATCTGTAAGGTTTCAGGTGCATTCGATGTGGAACATCGATAAAGGTTTTGAATTACCTTCGCTTTGGACAGGCCACCCGTTCGGCGTTTTCGGGGTACAGGGGGTCCCATTTGCAAAAGTGCTCGGGGCTTTCTTCTTCTACGTAACCAGTACGTCTTTCTACGTTCGATTTATATTTATTCACAGCCTCGAAAGGATCCATTAGTTCGGACTGATTAGAATCGGTTAATTTCTGTTTGCGTCTCTCTGCTATTAGATCTTTTAACTACAAAGAAAACAGGCATTAATTTAATACGCAAATAAACAAAGTTTAGCCTAATTAATTTTTTTAACTCGTTCCCAGAAATCTAAATTAATGAATTTTTAATTGCAGTTTTTATGTGCAGAGTGTTTGAAGCAATAGATTGTAAGTACATCAAAATAGAAATGAAACAGTTTTACCTTCGGTCTAGAAATATTGGTTGTACTTTTGTTACTTATATTTGAAGCACCTGGAGTACTGAAATTGAAATTTTAATGAGTAAACGTAGTATAAAGATAAGAAACATTACTGATAACGCTTACTTTTTCTCTCTATCTGCCATTGACGCGGTTTAAAATTATGTTGAATAAATAATATCACAGAAAATAAATCAAATTTTCAACAGGTGACAATTTTTTTGCTGTTTATTTACAAAACATATGAGGAAGCATGTGTGTGTGTGTGTTGACATAGAAATATTTGTACTATTTCATCTATTAGTCTCTTCGCTATTGCCAAATTGACTCTTTTTTCCGATATTCTCTGGTTCGACACATCCGAATATACAAAATAAAGCGTTGTGTTTTGCATAATTTATCTCAATTTCGTGAAATTTGAATTTGAATGTATAACTCGACAAATCTGAATATATGTTCCCTTATTTATGCTTCAATGAGCGTTCATTGTTTTATTTAAATTATTACGTAAAAACGAATCTGTAGCAATATTTGACTTTTGATAATTCATTTTTTCTTTAGTGGCAGCAATGAACAATGAAAATAGTGTAATTTGTGTTGCATACATGTAAGCTGTTGAAAAACTTGATTTTGTCGAGAATTTACGACTTGAGAGTTTTATTAAATCGAGAGTTAAATACACAAATTTATTTTAAACGAATTTATAGATTCGTTTTAAAATTTATTTAAAATTCTTCTGTTAGTTGACATATGACATCAGTGTGACATCAGATATGTCAACAAGCCAAATATTTGGCAGATGCTAAAGGGAGGTTTACATCAAAATATTACTGACAAGTTTGACAAGTTAATACATTTTTGATTCAATTTTATTGTTTAGCGTAGGTTTTAAACAAAATACGAACATATGGGTAATATGAAATTGTTTAGAACGTTTTTGTTAAGTATGTTTGAAGTATTTGTTTTTATAGGTTTGGTAATAATGGTTTAATTATCGTGTGTAACCGGCCTAATGTAGTCATCTTGGCTGTCTTTCATTTTTTGGCGCACGCGCATACAAAGTCTACTATGCTTGTAAGGTGAGGGGGGACCCCTTGTCTTATTCTCTGGTTTTTGTGGGTGTTCAGAAAAAAAATGTTGTGATTTCTTTAAATTTAAAGTTAGGTAATGACAAATATGAACTCTATATGTTATTTTATCAACGTAACGCACTCAACCATCGATTTCTGCGAAATTCAATAACAGTGCACCCATATGACAAAATGTTTATTTACTATTCTCTACTATAAAACTCCATTCATTAAGTAGTGTTTATTATTACTCATCCTGATGTAACCTAAAGAAGCTGATTTCTCGGAAATAATTGTAATACATTTGTTTAAATTTTTGTGAGTATTATGTATGTGTTTTGAAACTTAGCATCCTTTTAGATGAACCCATCAATGAATCCTTATAGAATGACGGCGGAAGAAAAATCGAAAAATGTTTCAAGATTGCCGTTCAGAACTTATTCTTAGAGGTTGATGTCGTTGTACTAAAATCGCAAAGCAATTTACCCGTTCAACATGGATATGGGAGTGAGAAAACTACCCAAAAAGAGGAAATATGATCCATCCGAATTGGAGAAAAGTAATTCACAGACGGCTTGTATCCCAGTGTCGGTTGTCCAATGTACAAGTGTTATGTCAGCCCCCCAAGCTACTGCTGTTGATTACTCTTTTCCAACAAAAACCTCCACACAAGAGGAACCACATACACAAACTAGTTGTAAACAAAACGTCATTGATCTCAGTGAATGGTGTGATCATAGGATTTTAGCTAGACAAGGGGACTGGTATTATCCCGGTGTTATAAAAGAAGCCAATGGTTCAACTGTAAGTATTAACATTTCTTTTTTACAATATCATATCGAGTGATTAAAATTACGATGAACATGTTACATGTACAATTGATACGTACCCTGTAAAAAGTGTTATAAGAGTTACAACCCTTATATTTTATACAGAATATTAACGTAACATGTTCATTTAGCTTTGCGTATCAATTTATTTCAATTATAAGTTCTTATTAGATCTTCGAAAATTTTTAAATCGAACTTATTTAGTAATGATGGTAGAAACTAGTTATCGGATATACACTTAGCCAATGTTAGTAAATATTAAAAAACATCATAGTAACAACTGAGGATAACTAGTTTTACTGTAATACATTTTGTTTTATGGTAATGTCCATTAGTAAAGCTACTTTGTGAAATGAATTAAACATTAACAAACTTGTTCATTTATAAGATCTGATAAACAAAGTATTAATTAATTATTAAAGGGTATGTAAACAATGGATTTTAAAAGAACTGTTCAAGTCCGAGGTATCAATAGTATCCTGCATTTTGTGATTATTCGACGAATTTGAAATTCTTACATTTTTTTATGATATTGTAATCTAGTGAACCTATTAGTATTATTATCGGGTTCGTTAATACCTTAATGGAAACAAATTAATCATCATTATTACTAATTATTGTAAAGGGATATATAATTTTTAATCATTATTAATTAGTTTTTTGACATTGAATTTTATTAATGTTTTATGTGTTACCTTAACCTAGCCTAATTTGACCTTAACATTACCTAACATAATGTACTGTTCCAAAAATTGTTCACAGGGGGACTAAAGTTAATATAATTGTGTACAAGTTCATCAGCTTATTATAACTGATGATTATTGCTTTAATTACACAAAATGTAAATTGTAATTGTTTGTTCATAATAATTTATTTGCTGCCATTGCAAGTAGCATTTTGATAGGAAATTGTTTGCTTAGGATTATTTTAAAGGGGGTATTTTTTTAAATTTTGAAGATTCTAAAATAAATTGGCGTAGTAACCAGATATATTCACCTGTATTTATTGCCTTATTAGATAGAATTGTATTTAATTCAAATCTACTCATACCAATTATATTGCTATGTATTGCTATTACATTTACAATGAATAGATGGTAGATTTAAACTATGCAGAAATATTTATTTTGCATTTTCCAGACTGTTTATAATTTATTATTTTTACATAGTTACTGCGATATTTTAATAGAATTTCTGACTAAATATAGAAATATTCGAAATTATTTACAGCAGTTATTTATTGATTTATAAATTGAATAATATTTTCATGTTTTATGTAATTATCGATACATTTTTTCAAAGAAACGCCTGGCGGTATTTTCCCACCACATGCCAAATTCGATCAAAAATTTTTTACATAAATTCGATTGTTCAATGGATTTTACAGCAAAAACGTAGATCGTATAAGTACTGGTTTTAAAAATAGAGAGTAGTCTAAAGGTTAGAAAATTCATTCAAATAAATTACATAAAAATTCATTGAGTTCCTTAATGTTTTATTTAATTATGCCTCGTCTTCGTTTAAACGCCAGCTTTTTTTTAATTAATGAATGATGAATAATTGGATTAAAATTTGTATCATAATTGAGAATACTCATTGGATATTTTGATATTCCCAACTGTTTGCTATAAACTGAACGTAGTTTAAAAATACTATAAACAACTGGTTACGACTACTAGCTTATCAAACGTTTAACTTAATCTTTTAAAACTAAAAATAGAATACTGAAAAATATCTGCATTTTACACGACCTTCGGCAGCTTGAGGAAATTTTATTGTTTCAAAAAAAGCACAATTTCCCCAAAAAAAATTAACGCTATCTAACAATTTATCACTCGAGTTCTACGTTACCTGTTCAAAGTCTAATAAAATAAACAACGCTTTGGTATTTTATCTGAAATGCAAAATTAAGCAACAAGCACTCTAACGCCTTTTGTCTAAATTAATTTCGTACCTGCACGGATTTGAACAAGCGCATTTACTTTTCAGATAGCCGTTGCTTTGGATGGAAAGGAAGAAAGGGTCATATATGATAACGTATTCGATAATAAATGTTTTAACGTGATAAGTGATGCGAGCCCCTCGGTAAACCAAATAACGCTAGGAACACGAGTGTGTGTACGCAACAACCAGAGCATGTTCATGGAGGGCGTCGTTTGCAGCATCCTCGAGGGCCAACCGGTGCGCTTCGTAGTGGCCGTCATCGGCGAACAACCCATCGAACTGACCGTAAAACGGGCCGACCTGCGATTGCTGCGGCCGCCTTGGTGGGACGAGCTGGAAAACATCGAGCCCAACATCGAAAACGCCATGCCGACCGCCCTGGAATTCCACCGGGCGAACCCCGCGTCCCCGACCCAGCTGCATACGCCCATATCGGTCGGCACCCCCTTATCGAACGGCCGCCACTACGACGAGTTCTGCGAGAGCGAGGACGAGCTGCGGCAGGACGCCTTCAGCTCCGAGGTGAACGCCAAGCTATCCGGCAGCAGCAAGCGCAGCAGCATGCACAGCCGCAGCAGCTCGTCGAGCAGCATCACGCCGCGCTCGCAGCCGACGACGCCGCGCAGCCAGGCGGCCACGCCGCACAAATACAAAAAGGGCGACGTCGTTTCGAATCCGAACGGCATCCGGAAGAAGTTCAACGGGAAACAGTGGAGGCGGCTGTGCTCCGTCGACGGGTGCAAGAAGGAGAGCCAGCGGCGGGGTTACTGTTCCAGGCACCTCAGCTTGAAAGGTAATAGTCTTCGTAGTGGGAATTGTGCTAGATCTAATAGTAAAGGGGACGGTGAAGATACTTCTAGGGATTCTGAGACATCGCCGAATTGCGGGGATCGTCGGATGACTGGAAGATTCGATCAGGAGGAAACCGAAGCTGCTAATATGCTTGGTGAGTACCACACGATTTCACTTACATACGTTCAGAATTCTAACAATCTAATATTGAATATACTCACCTGTATAGCGTCATCTTTCATTTTGCTTTTTAAAGTGTTGCCCATTGTCGCGAAACTATTTCGAATGCTACCTCTTTCGAACATTAAATGCAAAATAACGCGATATCTTTTTCGTGATTCGAAAACATTCTTCGCACGATAGATTTATCGAAGGGCGTGCGGTCGTGCCTCGCACATCAAGATGACTTTCAATTTCTCGCCCACAATTCCTGCACTATCAACAGAATTTTCATTCCGAATAAATAATACACGTGAATTATCGCGCAGTATCGCTGGGGAGTTCGCGATCGGCCACGCCGGCCTTCTCGCCCAACGGGCAGGGATCGTCCCCTCACACGATGCAATCTCCTTTGACTGTGGGCCCCAGGCAGAACGTCTTCGTGCCGATTCCCAGCAGCCACTCTCTGCAGAAGAGGACGTCGCCGGGAAGCCAGGCGTACAATTCATATCAGCAGCAGCTCATAAGGTAAACGGCCACGGTCGATTGCTCGTTCGAGCGCCGCTACAACGTTCGCATGTGTTCCCTTTTGCAGGCCGGAGGCTCGGGCTGTACAGAGCAGCACCAGCGTCATACGGGTGTCGCCGAATCCGAGGCAGTGGTCCAATTTACCTGAACAACAGAGCGTTATATTGCAGCACGCTTTGACTAGTCCGCCGAATCAAATCGTTGAACCTGATAATAATCCTTTACCTCCGGCAGGTAATGATTTTCCATACAGTAAGTAAATTCGTTTTTGAATAATAGACTTGTTCGAGGAGTACCATCTTCGAGAACAAGGCTATTATGGTTGTTGAAGTTGATGGATGTTATTGTAAAACTTTTTTTAGGAGGTCTTTATTGCGTGTTGCCGCCTACAGACGAGAGGAACGTTATGATTGTAAAAAGCGAAGTAGATACTGATGGCAAGGAACCGAAGTCGTTTCCTCGACAAGTAAATATTATGTGGCTAGAACCGAAGGGTTACTTACATGCTATGTGTTTTATTGCAGGTGATACAAAGCGATCATTTACATTCGACGCAATTGATTCGTGTCACGTCAAATAACGGTATAAATAATATAAATAGTTTGAATAATAATATTCATTCACATTCCAACGGATCCGGATTGCTCCAATCAAGTCCGATGAATTCTGGACTGCCGGTCATCGTGAATCCGACGCAATTAGTGCCGGTCTTGCCGCCTTCCTCGCAATCTGTCGTTAAACGAGTTATCCCCACTGCCACTATCCAACAAAATCCTCCGCCTGTGATCGTTAAAACCGAACAAGGTAACGCGAACCTCAGGCCTTCGAACAATCTCTCACGCTGTCCAACGTTTCCAGTATCTCCGAACGCCGCAAACCACGCGAAAGATCCCCTGATGCTGCCGAGTCCGGACCAACACCAACACCATCACCAACACCAACCCAACCAAAACCAACGCATCCCCGCCGTATCCCAAGCGCCCGTATCCCAGCCATCGCACCGGCCGATGGGCGTCAACCCGCCCCCGCCGCCGGCGAAGGTCCAAGGCGGCGCGCCGCCGCCCAACCAATCGGCGTTCGTCATTCCGTGGCACTCGATCGTGCCGCTGCTGACGGCCGCGTCGGGGCCGGTCTCGCCGCCGGGCTCGCAGCTGTCGCCGCCGCTGTCGGCGCCGCCGGTGGCCGTCTCGGGCGGCGATTCGCACGACGACGACGTCGACGTCGAGCAGATGCAGACGCCCACCGAGGACGACGACGACGTGTTCGAGACGGAGCCGAGCGATCTGAACGCGGACGGCGTGATCAACAGCAAGAGGCGGAGCCAGTCGTTGAGCTCGTTGCCTAGTACTTCGAAGGAGTCCGGCAAGGTGATTTGGTGGTTGGGTTCGTGGTGGAGTTCGGTGGATTTATTTTGGGTTTTTTTTGTGTTGTAGAATAACCGTATAAGGAGGCCGATGAACGCTTTTATGATATTTTCTAAAAGACACAGGGCGATCGTGCATCAGAATTACCCGAATCAAGATAACCGCACTGTTTCGAAAATATTAGGCGAGTGGTGGTATTCGATGAGCCAAGACGAGAAGAGGCCTTACCACGATTTGGCTTCGGAAGTTAAAGAAGCGCATTTTAAAGCTCACCCCGAATGGAAATGGTATGTAATCGATTTATTTTTCGAGCGAATTAAAAATGGGGTTAATGTAAATTGCAGGTGCAATAAAGATAGGAGAAAATCTTCAACGAGTTCGAGGAGTAAACTGAGTTCTGCCGGTGATAGCGCGGAACCGGGCGATACTTGCACGAGTCCGAAAGTTCAATCGCCCCCTCACGCTATCGAACCGTCGAAACAAATGCTGCAAGAACAAGATGGAACAGGCGATCTTTCTGACGACGATCAGATGGTGATATGCGAGGAACCTGGTACTGAAATTGACTTAAAATGTAAAGAAAAAGTTACCGACTCCGATTCCGAATCTCAGAGTGATATGGATTCTTCTGTAGAGAATCGCATGTTCCAACGTTTTAGTCCCGTAACGAATTCGAATTGTTCAGATATTACGTGTCGACCCACACCGATAAAAGCGAGAATACCGTCGACGGAAGCGCCGAAATATAATCTCAATACTGCGCCGACAGCATTTCATTATTCTCCGGTTAATCCGACAGGTGTTACAGGATTTCAACCTTCGGTCGGTGGAGCCTTCAAGACAATGCCGGCGTCTCCGAAAGTTATTAAAACTGAAATAAAGAATGAATGTAATGACGCTTATGATGGCTGGTCAGGTACTATGATTAATAAATCAAACGATGTGTCGTTACGTGCCAACTCATCCACCATACAAACAAGCACAATCACAAGCAAAACTAACTCAACATTAGCTATACTAAAACCACAGATCAAATCAAATATTATCCAGCTAAACGATAGCATTAACCAGAATTACCAGTCACAACCGTTAACTGTTGTCATTGGCGGGCAGCCTACCATTTGCTTGGCCAATGAATCCGAACGATCACAGCCTTTTGTTGTTGTAGCGTCTACAGCCGCTTCTGAAATACCCGTGCAAGTGTACATGCAACCCTCCTTCAGCATTCCCGTTACCGACAATGGCAGGGGCGTCTCGCTGCAGAGCCTGCAGCTATTGCCCAAGCAAAATCACGCCCAATCTGTCATTGTCACGCAGGCACACAACAAGTCCTGCGTTTCATCTCAGGCCGATTATCAAATGACGCATAACACCATTGTCACATCTTCCAACAAATCCTGTTTGACTTATTCCAACAGCACCAGTAAGTATTTGTTTTTTTTTACTTCTTTTACATTCATTCTAATTTCGTTAATAACTGTATTATTAGTTTCAGCTCCCGTGCTACACATACCGGAATGTAAAGATATTAAAGAAGATGCTAAATCGCCATCAGTATTAGACATGCTGCCCTCCGCTTCAGATTCTATAATGTTAGAACAACCGAATACGGAATTCAAATTGGCTCCGACTCCAGCGCAACTCGGAAAAGCCCCCTTACAACGAAGACAATCAATGGGTAAGTTTTATTTTTTTTTATAGTGTGTGAATATTAATTTTTTATTATTATTATTAGCTACATTCGTCCCGACGAGTTCTCAAGGAGGCCAAGAAAGCATGATGGTGACCGAAGTGCCTGAAGACTCCAGCCAAGTCGACCTGATGTCGCCGTCGGCGAAGAAGAGCTTCTTCAAGCGCTCAGTGGAAGACGGAATGGACAGGTATTCTTGATATACGTCGCGTATGGCATTCTAAAATGCCTATAGAAATTTTTCGTCGTTGTACAGGGTGCTGGAGCAGGTGAACTTCGAGAAAAAGTTCACGGCCCTGCCGCAGTTCAAGCCCGAGGACGGGCAGTCGCCGAGCGCCATCTCGATACCCAGCCCGGGGTTGTTCTACAGCAAAAAGCGACCGCCTCTCACTGCCAGCCACAGGACGTCCGTGGAAGAGGAGATCGAGCCGCCGGAGACGCCGCAGAGCGTCCCGAAATCCGCCTCGTCGGCGAAGCCGATCATCGGTAACCAGTTCTTCGGGCCCGACTTCGATAACGTTAGGGGTGAGTTGCATGTAGCCTGAGGTGAATTAGATGCATTATCGTTGGTTTACCGTCTCCAGCCGAATTGAATGAAATGGAGGAAGGTACGTCGCCGAAGACGCCGAGAACGCCGGGCACGTCGAGGGATACGGAGAAAGGCCATCGAAAGGTGCTGGAACAACGACGTCAATTAGTGTTGCAGTTGTTTAAAGAACAATCGCTGTTCCCATCGTCCCAAGCCACCTCTACGTTTCAGGCCCAACATTGTGATATTTTTCCTACGAAGACGAGTTTGCAGTTGAAAATCCGCGAAGTGCGCCAGAAAATGATGGCCCAAACTACTCATACACCGTCTAGTGCAAATAGCCCGCTCACTCCCGCCGAGCCCGTTCGAGTATCTTCAAATAGTTAGCTAGTAGTGTGCAATAGAGTGTCTTCCTTTTCGTATGTTATCATCAAATTGACTGAAAGTAGCACTTAAGAGCTTAAGAAATATATATATATCGGTTTGACACGAAGTGTGGTATAGTTGAATCTTTTCGTAAAATTATAGATTTTATTCGTATACCTGAAGCTTACCTGAAACTCTCGTCTCGTTACGAATTAGCAATTTTTCTGTAGACGCACATTGGGAAATAATCGCATGGATTTACAGTAAGATCAAAACTTGAACAATGTAAATGTGTTGTTGATCAAAATGAATATTTTTTTGTAGGAAACAAACAAAATATTTCTTTTTTGAATAAAGTTTTATTTAATTTTGCTCCAGTTATGAAATTTAATGTGTTTATTTTCTAATGTACAATATTCTGCGGTTTATTGAATTTTATACTTACCTATATATATTTTTTTATCATTATTTGGTATTAATAACATTGCATAATTTTGGTTTAGGTTAATTTAATGTATACATTACTAATTGAGAAACAAATTAAAAATCATTTACATGTTTACTTAATTATTTTTTTTATCAAATAATGATAAAATGTTTATTGTATTGCCTGTTTTACAAATATTTTTGTTAATTTTGGTTATAAACTAGACTTTAATAATCTTATTTCTCAAGATTTGTTTATAAAAAAAATTGTGCAATATTACGATTTTCGGTGCCCTCATCGCGTTTTATTAATCTGTTTGTCTAACTTTATTCCAAATTTGGAGATTTTTTAAAATGTTTATTCGTATATTTTGCATCCAGATATTGGATACTTTAATTAAAATGTTCAGTATTGACAGTACGCAATTTTAAAATGCTATGTATTTCATAATTTACATAAAAAAATCGTATTTTTATACAAGCTTGTTCTATTTATTTTGTCATTCGTGGATTCAAGAAAACTTGTTTTGTTCGTAACCTTTTTATTGATCCAGAGATTTCCAAACATGCTGTAGGATTAAATATGGCCGGTGTTAGTAAGTGCAATAGTTAAGTGTTTATAAATTGCATGCACAGGATGAGGTTGATTACAATAAACATTTCTAGGACTGATAATGATACAGGTTTTTTTCTATTTGTGTCGTATGTTATGTCAATTATTTTTTTCGATTTTGTCAATTGACTAATGTAGAGACATGTAAAATAAACCTGTATGTAGTACTGAAATTGATCTAGCCAGTTTAATAAGTATGTACTTTAAAAAAACTCATAATTTTAATCGAATTGATGATACTATAATGTACTATCTTTTGAATTCATGTTAAGGAATGCAAAACAGGATAGTACGCTAGGCAAAAATTCTTTTATCTTCCATTATATTATTCTACTGCGTTTATTTCCTTTTGGTTCGATCGCTATTTTAGTTATTATTGCAAGGTTGTGAAAATTGTGTCCATACCCTTACCAATTCTGTGTATTTTAAAATTTAATAAACCCAAAAATGGAACAGAATTCGTAATGAGTAACCCTACTAATAAAAAAAATCCAATTTACGTTCCGACTACACTTCAGTTGTGAAAATACAGCAGCACTTTCGATGAGGAAAACTGTTGCAATACTTAAAAAATAAATTTAATGTACATTTATTGGTGTTGCACTTTCTATTAATTTTTGTCGGAGTTTGCATTAGTTCTCCCAATCGAAAGTGCTATGAAATTAGCGGAAGCTAATTGACAATGGTACTTCATTTTGTGTGATTTATGATTTTCGTATGAATATAAAACATTAGATTGTATTAAATTTAGCTGTAGGGTACATGTATGGAAAATATCCGTTTCGATACTGTGTTAAAGTGAGATAATCATAACAATAGCTTAGTAACAACAATGTTGACCTGTTATTTATTTAATTAGTAACTCAATTATTGTTGTTTATTAAGGCGTTTTGTTCTTTAGTGCATTGTAGGTAAATTGGGAATATTTTCTAAACCTGTACGCAAAACTTACTTTCTTGGTTAATTTTCGTTTTATAATACTATTCTGCATATTTAAATGTTTTTATTTAGTGAAGCGTAATTATATGTTTACTCATGAACTAGGTATATTTTTCAGTGGTAAGGTTTTGACTTGATAAAAATGTGTTATTTATTTATTATATGTTTTATATCATATTTCTGATATTATTTTAGTTGTCTAGTTGGCAAAGATTGAAAGTTTAAAGGTTGTAAAATATTTGTTAATGTGACTAAAGGAGACGTAAGTGCAATATTTTTAAAATAAGCCACTATAAAGTTTTCACGTAAGTACTTTAATTGGTCCAGTTATTTTGAGTTGTCTTCCAAAACGAGTTGCGAGATTTGCCTAAATGATTATTTTTTGATTTTAATGCTACTATGGTGATACAAAACAATGTTGCGAACACAACTAAAAATCTGCCGGTTACGTTTTGAACAGTGTTGCTTTATAGCGGGCATTTCGATGAATGCTGGTTCCAAATTGGGCTATAAATTTACATGAAAAAAAAAAGGTTAGATAAATTCGCACTGAAAGCTACCCTTTATAGTTGTTTAGCGATGCCTCTGTCTTAACATCAGGAAGAAAGAGCCACTTTTGACGCAGAGTAATTCTGATTAAATGAAAATTTCGTGAAGCTAGTGTCAGAAAAATATAGTATTGAAATTGTAATAAATATTTATCGATAAAAATCTGTGATTTAAATAAAATAATGCACAGTTTAAATTTTGTGTTTAAACTGACAATCATTATGTATGTTATGACAAAATGAGTTAGAGCAGTGTATATTTATTTTACTTCGACTAAATGCAGACTTATGGCATATGAGAAACGTTGTTGTAATCAGGAAATTTCAAATTATTTAAAGATATGCGAAAAGTAAGAGTGACTAGGCCGGGTCAGTATGGTAAAGTGCCAAATTTTCCTGAAAATAATAACTAATTGTACTTATAACGTTGAAAAGAGTAATAGTAATTATATACCGCATAGACTCGATTTTTAACTTTTTTCTTTCCTTCTTATATTCTTGTTATCGCTAGTTTTATTTCTAGGGCATATAACATAAACGATTTGTAGATGAATATCCAATATTTTTGCATTCGATTGAACGGTGACTCAAGAATATTAAAAATTATGTATTTTAAAATGAGCGCTCTCCAGATTGAGTCCATCCAAAAAATAACCCCATTTAAAATTTAAATCACCCATGTTCATCTACAAATTTAGAATTACTTGTAGTGTATACCCCAGAAGATAATTGTACGCTAATGTAAGAAATTTTTTCCATAATTTTGTAATATTATTTTTATTATTTTTCCGGTTCCACTCCACTTTCGTTTCCATAATATTGCATTTTGATAGCAATTTCTTAATATTATGGAATAGAAGTGTTGTTACGGGACACTTTTTATAAAATAATAATAATACAGTTGATCACGTATCCTCAAATTGTATCGAATTTCAATCGTATCAAAAGTTAATTTATTTTTAAACTGGTAAAGATTTGTATAACTGTTTTTTTTTTGGAATTTCGAGATGCTATATTGCAGTTCTTTTCTCAAGGATGGTGATCAATTGCATATCAGGTGCATTGCATACATTCGCCTAGAAATCTATAAACGTTGCAGTGCCACTTGAGGATATTAAAACATTAGTTGCCTTGATTGTGGTTTTGTTTTTGTTACAACTTAGCATTTTATAGTCAATGATCTCGTTAGGAAATTGTTCACGTAAATAGTGTAAAGATTGTGCATGTCACTCTTCTCCGAGCACATGTTTACATTTAATGTATATAATACTTATTAGGTACTATTTGTACTGTAATATTCTATTTTATTTAAGATAAAGTTATAAAGAATCACGTACAGTCACAATAAATGTATTAATTATTTTTAAATGACTTTTCAATTTCATTTACTCCTATGTCTCTAGATCTAACGATTTCCTAAAACGTCACGTTATCGCCAAACAAATTATCATAGAGAAATTATTTTGTCTGCAAATTATGTAAAAGTAAATATCACATAAGAAAGAGGCCAAGTAAAAAAACAGATGACATTGACATTAATGACAGTACCGTGACATTGACATTTAATCATTTGATACATTGGTGATCTCTGGAAGATTGCGGTTTATTTCTTTGCATTCCTTCATAGAAAGTAAATAATGGCACCCTACAAAATTGTTATGGTCAGACATGGAGAGTCCGAATGGAACGAAAAAAACTTATTCTGCGGCTGGTTCGACGCGAATTTGAGCGAGAAAGGTTGGCTGTTTTTTCACCTTGACTGACCTTTAAACGTAACCCTACATTTTACATAATTTCCTACAAATTTGACTCGTCTTGCAGGCAAACAGGAAGCCCAGGCTGCAGGTAAGGCACTGAAGGATGCAGGCTACAAATTTGACATGGCCTTCACGTCGATGCTTACTAGAGCTCAGGTCACTTTGCAGGCAATTTTAAAAGAAATCGGTCAGGAAGATTTGCCAACGATCAGGACGTGGAGGTTGAACGAGAGACATTACGGTGGGCTGACCGGACTGAACAAAGCCGAAACTGCCGCTAAATATGGAGAGGAACAGGTAATATTACATGTTCCTATTATTTAGATGTATCTTATAAAAATGGTTTAGGTGAATATCTGGCGTCGAAGCTTCGATATTCCTCCACCTCCGATGGAAGCTGATCATGCTTACTATGACAGCATCGTAAAGGATGCCCGTTACGCCGAAGGACCCACTTTAGACCAATTCCCGATGTACGAGTCATTAAAACTGACGATCGAGCGTACTCTGCCCTTCTGGAATGACTCAATTGTGCCACAGATCAAAGCAGGCAAGCAAATCATGATTGCAGCCCACGGTAACAGCTTGAGAGGAATTGTAAAGCATCTTGATGGTAAGCTAAATACGATAATTACTGAGCGAATGTTATGAGAATATTCTCGTAGATTTAAGCGAGGATCAAATCATGAAACTGAATCTTCCCACTGGTATTCCTTTCGTTTACACGTTGGATGAAAATTTGAAACCTGTGAAGAGTTTGGAGTTTTTGGGCGACCCGGAGACTGTGAAAAAGGCCATGGAGGCCGTCGCTGCCCAAGGCAAAGCCAAATAATCAGTAAAATAGTGTATATGTAAATGGAGACTACTGGTCCATATTAAATTATTAAGTCATGAATGTTGAGTGTGATAGAGATAATAAATGTTACAAATTAATTGTTTCAATTATCTTTTTTATCTCCTAATAATGTTTCCTAGTTATTATAAACTGTAAAACGATGAGAGGAGGAAGGGAAAAAATAAATATAGTGTTTAAAAAAATATATATTTGCAAGTTAAATTTAATTTATAATCTTGAAATTTTTCAGTCTGTCTGAGAGACAAATCACAAATGTATTAAACATAAGACACTCCCAGTCAAATAAAATGCATACAATACAAATGAGAATTATTCTTATTGATAATCTAAAACATTAAATAAATATATTTACCAAGTTACTGCACCTAAAACTTGTGCAGATGAACAATCACATTTTTATTGCTAAATAAAATTGCACAAAATGACCGATAGTCAAAGGGTTATTCGGGAATCTATATACTTTGGTTAACCACACATTGCATGTAAGCACTCTCCATTGCATGTAAGAGCAATTATTCAGTGAAAATAATCTTAATCGTGCAACATTTAGGCAACAAGTGAGACTTTACAACTAAGTTTTTCTTTATACATGAAACCTTACTTTAAAATAATTATATTACTTTCTTAATTAGGTACTCTCTTAGATACTTTCTTAATTAAATGTACAAATTTATACAATTTCAGTTTCAATAAAGAAATATTCGTTTATCGTATAAAAAATGAAAATTATCGAGTCGATAAAAATTATTCGTATGACATTAAAATATGCAGGCAATGCGTTATTTCAAACATTGAGGGTCTTGTAATGAAAATTAATTAGTTCACAACAAAATAAAATTTTTATTTGGCAACAATTGCTTAACCAACATTACTTACAATTAAAAAATCAGTTCATTTATAAAATATCACTTTAAATAATCTATGTTTAATTTAATAAAAAATTATTTAAATTCTCCAACATTTTTCTAATATATTAGATAGTAAGAACTGAACAGTATTTACATCAGTAAGATAAAATATAATAAACCATATCGATTCATGATTCATTATAAAAAAGGGGGGATCTTTTACCACAACACCCGAAACAGTTTGAAGTTGGAGACAATCTCAAATATAAATTGTAGTTTGTTAGATCAGTAAGACCAACTCGTATTTCCTTAAATGCAGTAGGCCCATCGGAACCACAGTGAAAATTGAGCTTCGTCTATTTCATAATCGTTGTAAGTGACAAAACCGAAACTGTTTCAATCCGTTTATCAAGCTCAATGAGCCCTAAAAAACGTTTGAAAATTAATTTCAGTCTGTAGGTCGTTTTATTCGAATGGCACGATTACTAGAGCTAACAAAAATATGTTTTCTATGCATCTCGAAGTCGGGGCACTATATTGAGATCATTTTCACATACTCGATATTTCTATACACAATATTTACGTAGTAAAAGACTATGTCTTGCATTGTTTTAGCGCCAATATGGTGCAATTGATTTATAAATGTATTGCGCAAATTGAATACGGAACAATTTTTACTGAATTTGGTATTAGTAAAAGAAAGTTCCGGCAATAAATCGAAACGTTCTTCCACATAATAATATTGCACAATAGTTATTCATAAATGAAAAAACTCTGACAAAATATTGCATATTAAAAAAAATTGGATTAATTATTTCTAAATAAACGTACTGTTTATTATTGCACAATTTTATTTCAGATGATTAGTGAAGTTGTGTCTGCAAGCTTTTCATCAGTAAAAATTGTTCGATTTCCGATTTTCACACACTATTCGCTATTTGTACTATAAATTATGGCTTTACATTAAATATTTACATTCCCACTCTCTTACTAACGACTTTTCCGTTCCATTTGCGGCAATCTTGGTTCCACGTTTTCGACTTTTGCCTGAAATGCCTGAAGTCTTCTTCGTGGTCAGGATGCGACATTTCTTTGTAACCTATCGGAGTGCACAGATTCGAATAGTGCTGAAAGAACATTTTATACCCTCCTTCTAACAGGTACATTTCCGGGTAAACCAGAAACGGATAAGCACTCGCGTTCTTATTACGATCTTCTTTACGCAAAAACCGATACCTGCAATCAAAAAAAGATCAATTAAATAAGAGACAACGGAGGAAATTTAGCGAGTCAACTTACAAGTTAGGCCCGCGTTCGCTGGAGAACTCGCAATGGAAGATCAGAATGTGCCTCGAATTAGGATCGACCGCCTCGTGGCTGTCGTTCAAAAACCTCATGCACTGCTCTTTAGTGTAAATGTTCAAAGCGCCCTCGATGTGCCCGCCTTCGAACTCGTACGGATAGCGACAGTCGATGATTTTGAACGAACCGATCGACCCGGTGAACTGCCCTCTCATCAGCTCCGCCAGCGTGTGCGTCGTGATGGCCTTCAGGTCCTGGTGGCGGCTCGCCGTCAGCGGCAGCACGAACGGCTTCGAGAAATCCCCGATGAGATCGGGCACGGCGTCCGACCGCTGCACGGCCGACATGATGCTCTCCTCGGTGGCCGACATCGTGCGGTGGATCGCCGGCCGGTTGACCGGCACCGACGCCTCGCCGTCGTCGTCGAACATCCGCGACCGCTTGACGCCGCACATGTCGACGTCGTTCGGCGGCTCGGGCCGCTTGAACGGCTTGCCGTCGTCGGTCTTGAACAGGCTGGTGCGCACGCGGTGCGTGCCCGGCGGCGTGTCGTGGTAGCTCTGCAGCGAGAGGCTGCGCCGGAAGACCGGCCGCATGGTCGCGTCCTTCGAGGCGGAGTCGTCCTGCTGGGGCATGGGCATCAGCGGATCGGAGATGAGCTTGTTGAAGTCCTGCGGCAGGACCGCGGAGGTCGAGTTCGACGCTTCGGTGACGGTGAAGTCGAGGAACTCGTCTTCCATGGAGTACATGGAGGTGAAGGAGTCCATGGTGGCCTTCGAGGGCGAGGCGTAGGAGAGGAATTTTTCGCCGTGGTAGCTGGCGCCGTAGCCGGAATCCAGCGAATTTGAATCGTGCTCTTCGAGGGGTCGGCGGCAGTGGGCGCGTTGCGCGTGCCCGCTGTCGTACAGGGAAAGCTCCTCGGTTTTCATGCTGTTGAAAGGTTGGAGGTTTTCTTTGTCCAAATAGGGCCCCTCCATTTGATCACAATTCATTTTACAAGTCCTGGAAAGAGAAACGAAATTAATTATCAAACTCGACAACGTTCGATTGGTTTTAAATTTCGCGGTTAAAATGTGCCTCTTTACATCGAGCTATTCAGCTATATTTGTGGCGCCATTGATATTACAGCTATCTGTAATAATTCTGACGTAAGTGACGTAATAAAGTTAATTGAACGCAAGATGGCATCAAACTCTCGGAATTACCCGGTTTCTAATTGCAAACAACAATTTTCCGTTGATAAAAACGGTTTAATTCAAATGAGCAACAGATTAGATTTTAAATTGATATATAACTTCATTGATTCGTAATACTCCATTCATGTAAAAAAGGATTTTAGTTTCTAAAAAGGCGCTCACACAATAGAAGTAAGTCATGGATTCTCACAATAAAGCAATACAACGGAACGACCAGGATCCCTTGCACCTGACATTTGGAGGGTACCTCTGTGGTTCAAGGGCGTTCTTACGTCAAATGAATGTCAATAAGCTATTGTTGGAAACATTCTTTTTTTTGGTCGGAATTTGTTTTAAATTGAAGTACGCTAGTTTTATCAAACTACCCTTGGAAATTATTACCTGTCACTTGTCAATAAAATTTTATTAAAAATTACTTCTTCAATTCATTTTTAGAATTAGTGTATTCAGAAAAATTAGTGTAGTCTTTTGTGTTTTAAGAAAAAAAAAAGGATTAGTAGTACTTCACAAAAAAAAAAGAAAAAAATTTATTCACAATTGAGGGTAATATACTAACCAATTTTTTAATCAATGCATACTATCATTAAAACCAAATCTAAATCAAATACGTACCCAAAATATTTTAAGTAACTGACTAAACAATAGTACTCACGAGCTTATGAAACTCTTCCCACTAAACCTAACCTTATAAAGGACATTTGGCGCGAATATGTGCCGAAAAAAGGAGCGAAACTCCATTCTAAATGGCAATGTACCTGCGTATTACATTAAAAAAACAGGTAGTGACCATTCTCTTAAGAGCTAGATATATTTATTCGATTTTAATTCAAAAAAGCCACACTGGATTATTCCGATCATGTTCAACTAAATATTCTCGGTGTGTCCTTCCTTTTTATGGGTTTTACTAAAATTCTATCTTGTTAACGTAAAGGGGATGTCCTTGTAAAATTACTTATATCATCCTCTTAATGCTCTACTGTATTTTATTGTAAAACAGCTGATATAAGTTTTGTTTTCAAAAGTAACAGCTGATGATTAGGTCCAAAAAATGAATGACAAGCCCAATTAAAACGAGCTTTTTTCGTTGATAAAAACTTGTTGAAATTATTGAACAGAAAAGTTTACCAGAAGTTTACTACGTTTTAGTGGATATTCGAATTAATTATTTTAAAAAAACAATTTCATTATTAAGACATATGCAGGTACTTGAAAACGTGTTGTTTTTGTTACAAACTATTATAGCGAAGTAATTTTTTGCCTAGTTAATTTACAAATAACAAATTCATAATAAGTGTAAAAATAAATAAAAAACGGCTGATTTTTTTCAAATTATTTACCTACTATATTGTTGACACACACGACAACTATCACCGTGAGCAGGATCCCACATTTGGAGTCTTTATTTACATCCGGAACTGTTATTGGAATACAAGAGAACCAGACTGTCACTACTAATACTTAAAAATGCGGAGTGTATAAAAATATCCCGATCCCGACTACCACTCCCGACCGAAGCGAGACGCTTACTGTTTTCGTTTTCGTTCTTGAACTCCAACTACAACTTCAGTCGGTTTCGAATAAGTACCCGAACCGAACAACGGAACTGTAAACTGGTCTGTCCCACCAGTCCCACACATATTCTACTCGACCAGTCAGCCAGGAGTAGGGATACACCCTTACTAGATGGAAAAGGGATGTATTCAGGGCCGTTTCGGCTATCCGATTCGCGCCCAAAATTTC